ATTTCTTTTGGTTTATTGTCAGCTTGGGGTGATAACAGCGCCTATGTTCTTAGGTTGAATTGGCAACTTATTGATATTTATGGACTCTCATGCCTTTGACTGACTCATATCATGACAGGCTCCTTGAGCTCTCGCGCTTGCACTCATGAATCTCTCTGAAGTCCATACTGTCTGTTACTTCGAAAACCATGAAGCTGATGGATCATTCGAAGTGATTGTCGGAGTTGCTTCAGTTTGAGAGCTAGAAGGTAGTGAAAGCCATACCTTAGAAATGAATGGCTACATGTACTGATCATAATATAAAGAGGCTGAATTAAGATTTTGTCTGCTACAGTTCATAGGGGATGGATGGATGATTACCTAATGGGTTAATTGGCTTGTTAATTTATGGACCTTGCTTAATGTCTGATTACTGTGGTATTATAATGGAAATACAATTTCTACTTTATTTTTGATTAGATTATATCATTACCAACTTGTCCGAAGAAAGGAAAACAAAAGAAAGAAAGAAAAAAAAAAAAAAAAAAAAAAAAATTGAAGTTGTAACAGGGAAGCCGCCTGGGCTGGGCCGCATGGCATGAACCCATGATCAATGCTAACCAAGCATTTTCAAAAAATTATAAACGTCGATCATTACGGGGCTTGAACTAACGATTGCAAGCTTAAGAAGCTAGCGAGTTACCAAGTCAGTTACAAGGGAAGTTGTTGATTAGTTAACGCTTTATTCGTCTTTGTAGAGTCCCACATCGGGGAACTGTAACAGTAATTTACACTTTAAATATAGGGGTTTGATTGATAATAGCACCAAGGCCTTTAGGGAAAACCCCACACCTATAATAAAGTTCTATTGGGCTTGACCAATCTATTGGACTTAGGTGGCTAAGTTGGGGACAATATCGGTGTTAGTTGGTGGGTACTATGTGGAGGTTCAGTACCGACATGCATAAGTGCTAGTAGGGTAATCCTACATGCCAACACACATAAGTGTTCGATAAAAAAAAACACATAAATGTGGGCGGGCCTATGCATTGATTCGGTACCAACATGACATAAAAGGTAGGCCCATTATAAATAATATTAATCTAATAGCACCGAGGCCTTTTGTAAATTTTTTATTCGGATATCCACATATTTTTGTATTAAATTACATATTAAATTTCCTTTTCACAAAATGGGATTATTTACTACAATGTTGAATTTAGCTAGAGACCCAAAGACAAAAGGCAAAAGTTGTGATTGCTTATGATACTCTTTCAAAGCGCATCATCTTCCACAATTGTAGTTTATTCAAGCCACCGAAGGCAATTGGATCACATAAACTATGGAACCTTTTCACCATAGCCATCTTTCTCGCTTTCAGAAAACAGTTTAACTAATAGGCCATGAAAACATTATAAGCTGGAAGCGTTACCTTTATGTGTTAGAACACCAAAAACTCAATCTAAATGTGGTGTCCTTTCTTTTTCTTTTTTCTCCGTATTTTTGTATGTTTTTTTTACAAGCGATATTGAGAGTGATGGGAATATTAAAAAAAGGGACCTAAAATAGAGGAATAATTGCTCTTAAACACTTAAACTAAATCCCTTTACAGTCATATTACCAACGGCTCCAAGATACTTCACGCATATGAATTAAGTGCAGAGTTGTCAAATTTATTTGGAGTTAGAAACCCTCTAATCATTACTAATGTCGCTAAATATACAATAGGTATCGATTCGTTACCAAGTAACAACTACACCAATTCATTATGTTTTTGCATTTCCAGTGAAAAACTATAGACGAAAAGAATGGAGGATCCTTGGCCACTCAAGGCAAAAGGTATAACCCCGAAAACAAGAGGAGGAGAAGAACAAGAAAAACAAAACGAGAAGCCCGCAATCATTTTGCTCTCGATAAGATTTCTGAACCTTTACAACCACAAAACTAATGATGGCCTAAACATTGCGGCTTTTCAAGTAAATAAGCTAGGGTATACATGAAATTTTTAAAGTGAATAGTGTTTATTTTCCCCAACTTTGTCACTACCATGAAAGTGAAGAAGCAGCATGGAGTCACTGCTGCTATCTAGCTGGACAATAAAAGAAATAAGAAACGTACAGAAGAAAGAATTTGAATAATTAGAAACGGGCATCAGCCCAGCCGAACCATGTGCAACCTAAATGGTCAGTAGCAGCGGATTCAGAATTTGGAAGTTGAGTAAGCAAAATTTACATGTTGTATGGATACGGGTATAGGTACGAATACGTCGATACGGAAAATTTTCAAAAACTAGGATATGTGTATGACACCGATACAATGATTAAAATAATATAAATAGCAAAATTGATATTGTATCCATCATGTTATGTCATCCATCAAATAAGAAATATGTGTGTGTGTATATATATATATATATATATATATGAATCAAATACATTTTGATTATAAAAAAGACAATTAATACATGTAAAAACAATTAGCAATATGAATGAGATATATGAGAAGAAAATCTCAAACATTGAATTCTATTTATTGACATAGTTGATTATCTACGATTCAATCTTTAGCCTCAAAATTTGATAATTAAAACATAAAATCAACTAACGGAAATACAATTTCTACTTTATTGTTGATAGATTACATCATTACCAACTTGGAAGAAAGAAAAAAAAACCGAAAGAGGAAGAAAGAAACAAATAAAAAACAATGGGAGTTGTAACAGGGAAGCCTGGGCTGGGCCGCATGGCATGAGTCCATGATCATGGCTAAACAAGCATTTCGAAAAAAAGACTTGTCAACGACAGCAAGGTTAAGAACTCAGTGAATTACCAAGTCAGCTACACGGGGTTGGGGAGGACTTGTTGATTAACTACCGCTTTATTTGTTTTTATAGAGTCCCACATCAGGTAACTATAACAGTAATTTACACCTTAAATATAGGGGTTTGATTGATAATAGCACCAAGGCCTTTAGGGAAAACCCTACACCTACAATAAAGGTCTATTGGGCTTGACCTATTTATTAGACTTTTTAGGTGGCTAAGTTGGGGACAATATCGGTGTTAGCTAGTAGGTACTATGTGGAGGTTCGGTACCGAAATGCATAAGTGCTAGGGAGTAATAATCCTACATACCAATTAATCATGAGTAGTTATAAATTTATTGTCAATATATATGGTCTATGTCTTTTTATATATTTTTGTTCAGGACTTTGCTCTAAAAGGCCCTATTACACATTTTGTTCGAGGTCCCTAAAATCTCATAGCCTTCCCTAGTTTGTATGCTTCACAAATGCCAATCACCACTCAAGTCCTATGTTGTCAAACTCTCGCATAGCTTGACTGCTCACAAAACAACCACTTTCTCTATCAAATTTTAGTACCCGAATTGTGCACTACTACATTTCTACTCCAGGACTCGTAAGAACTTCTGTTTATAAGCACTTTCACTAGAACTGTATTGAAGCTTTTATAAAATATCTAAGTGCTTTATAAAGAAGCAATTTAATTGCTTCTCTAGAAAGCTAAAAGAACACTTCCACAAAACACTTTTAATTTTTTATGTCAAACACACTAAAGAGACATGCCCGCCTGAATTTGGATATACTCAACTATCCCCAACCTAATACAAACACAAATGATCAAATATAAAATGAGTCGAATAATATGGATATAACCCACAATATCAGTCTAATTCCAATAGTCTCGTGTGAATTTACTGTTTTGTACTTTCTCCGTTTTTTTTCTTAGCAGTCGTTTGATCTAGTGCAGTGCAGAGTTGTTATTGACTATTGGATTGAACCTCCTCATTAAGCCTTCTCCAACCCGTTTGGTCATAAACCCAAATTTCTCCCTTTTAAAAAGTAACTATTTGAGTTTTATCTGTACTCAAATCATTTTTTCCCCCAACCCTTCAGACTCAAATTTTAAGTCCGCAACTTTATTAAATTGTTCAAGAATGGTCAATTTTTTTTTCATGGATAACTTTTCTTCATTTAATCTTTTTAAATAACTTCATAATTTAATTTTTTGAACAATTTGATATAAAAAAAATTGAAATTCCATAAATACAATTTTATTTTAGAAATAGGTGGGTATTTATAAAGTTTTGAGTGAATTTTGGGTTGGATATGATTTAAATTAATTAAAAATATTATTTTAACCTTTAGATTTAAATTTCAGCCGTTGGATTTTTTTTTTAATATTTATTTATCATTACAATAACTTTGATTTAATATGGATAGTTGATTTGGGTTATTTTTGAAAAAAGAAGAAAGGATTGTGCAACCAGTGCTCGCCAACTTCTGCAACAACAATAGCGCGACACTTGGTGTCCCATTGATTCCTCTTTGCACATGGGTTGCGTCAGCCTTGAGTAGGCTCCACCAAAAAGTTTTCCAGTTTTGTCAATAGCTACACTGGTATTTGGCCTCAAGTTTGAGTTTTTTTAAATTTTAACCCGTTACTTTTCTTGGATTAGAAGAAAAATTGAATTAAAATTTGGAAATTTTTAAGTTTGGTTTCATGCGTTGGAGATGGCTATATAACCCGAAAATATAACCACTCATTTTGGATTAAGAACTAGTCACAAGTTGTGTTCTTACTTGCTGTGTTGGGTTCAATAAGCCCAAGTAAGTCTAGAAACAAGTTGTGGCTGTGGGCCCTACATTCTAGTGTTCTTACTTGCTACGCCAATCCCAACACTAGTTATGGATAAGCATTTTCTCCCCCATTTATAACATCAAGACAAACAAGGACCCTTCAAAGAAGCAAACTTCACTTCCAGAAACCCAAGTAGCCAACCTTACACAAACAAAAACCACCATTTTTGAGCTCCAACTATAATATGATTCTTATACACCACGACTCTAACCCATCATCCTAAAACTCGAACTTCCTCTAAATCAACGTCTTTTTTTTTTTTATCGTTCTTCTTCTTCTTTTTACTTACAGAGTATTGGAGTCTTAGAGAGCAAGTAAGATGTCTGTTTTGGCAGCAAATTCTCATATTTTGTGTAGAGAAATGCATCACAGAGAGCATCAGCAACAGTTTTGGATCAGTGGTGGCAGCTTGTTGCTGCGAAAAGCTTCTTCTGGGTTTGGACTTTTGAACAGAAACAGAGATGATGGCACGAAGATGTTGAAGTGGGACTTCAAAGTTGAGGCTTTTTGGAATGATTCAAGACCCACTGTTGTAGAGCTGGAAGCCATCAACGACTGTGATCACTTTGATCAGATTCTACGCCATGCACAAGAGCAATCCCAGCCCATTATCATTGACTGGTCTCTCCCTCTCTCTTATCTTGTTTTGATGAATGAGTGAATGCCAGCTCACCTATTTTGTTCACATTATCTAAATATCTTACTTGGTTATAAACAGATGAGGTTTAGCAAACAAATGAATTTTGATTAAGAAGTTCGGTCTCACAGGTTAGGCCAGTAGGTTAGGCCAGTTGGTCGAGAGAATGCGTCACTCTCGTGTCCTACTTTACCAGTAGTTTACAATTCCTCCTTAAAAAAAAAAGAAAAAAAAAAGAACAGTGAATGGATCTTAGGATTTTTTTTTTGGGACAGGATGGCAGCTTGGTGCCGCAAATGCATTTATTTGAAGCCTAAATTGGAGAAATTGGCTGCTGAATATGACACCAAGTAACTCTCTCTCACTGCAATTTGGTATCATTTTCATGAATTTGGCAATATTAAATTGCACAAATAAGAGACTCTTTTCATGTGATGAGTTGTGATCGATTTACAACTGTGACATTGTGTGACACAACAGGGTCAAGTTCTATTATGTTGATGTCAACAAGGTACCTCAAGCTCTGGTTAAGCGTGGAAACATCTCTGTATGTCTGAATTTCACCCCTTCCATAATTTTAATTTTACTTGGTTAATAAGTTGTCTAATTTTTATTAATAATTTTTTATCTTCCTGTTTTCTCAGAAAATGCCAACAATTCAGGTGAGATTTATGGACTGTGCAGCAAGACTTTTCTGATTGTATTCGTAACTGTGCGAAACTTTTCTAAGTGGACTGTTAATGTAACGCAGATCTGGAAAGATGGGGAGTTTAAAGCAGAAGTGATTGGGGGACATCAAGCCTGGCTTGTACTTGATGAAGTGAGAGAAATGATCCAAAAATTTGTGTGATGCTTGATGTTTTGGTCCCTATTTCTTGTAATATTATTGTTTTCTTTCTTCTGCTAGGCCTCTGTCCTTGTAATCTTTTCTAACCACAGCATATAATGAAGAACGCAATATGTACAGTCAAATTTCTTTCTACCTTTGTTTCCTTTAGAGGTCTTTGTTAAGATGCATTCCAGTTTTGTGCTCAGTTTTCTAATCTTTGTAATCCTAAGGAAAGTAAATGAAACTTGTATGGGTCGTATCCCAGAATTTGCATCGCGATATTGTTAAGGAAAATATGTGAAGTGCCAACATGCCTCAAGCAAGCAGACTTTTGATACAAAAGGCCAACTATATGTCAAAGTGGTAAAGGCTTTAGTTTTGAGTTGATTACTTGTAAAAACAAATAGTGGTATGGCTTTCCCTACCTTCTAGTTCCCAAACTGAAGCAACTCCGACAATTACTTCGAACGATCCATCAGCTTCATGGTTTTCGAAGTAACAGACAGTATGGACTTTCGAAAGATTCATGAGTGCAAGCTTGAGAGCTCAAGGGGCCTGTCATGATACGAAAATGAAACGTGGGTCAGTCAAAGGCATGAGAGTCCATAAATATCAATAAGTTGCCAATTCAACCTAAGAACATAGGTTCTGTTATCACCCCCAAATAACAATAAACCAAAAGAAATTCAAGGCAAGAACATGGTTTTGTTTTCATGAAATTCAAGCCAAGAACATAGGTGTATGTAAACAAAAAACCATGTCAGATACAAAAGAAATTTCATGAAAATTGGTTTCAGATTTCATGTCCCTAATCCCAACTCAAACCTGATATCATCATGTAGGATATGCTTTCTTTTTACTTAGCATTTCAAATCACTATAAACTTCTAAAGATTTAAGAATTTCTCAAACAACCAAGATTGAAACTTCTAAACCAATACTCACGAACTTAACTAAAAGAAGGATATCTTGGATTTGTACATCCTACTCGGCCAAATAAAAAAAGGTGGAGATACCAAATACCAAAGGGACAAAACCAGGCCAGAGATCAAAAGCTAAAGCCGTGTAAGGGATTATCAGAGGATAATTTGAAGTGCATGCTTAGCAATTTTACAAGGGTCATAGTAACAGAGTCATTTTATCAAACAGCTGGTGGGCAAGCTTTTTACATGGATTAGATTGTAAGAAACAAGAATCCATACTAAAAAATCAGTCACTAAACCATCAAATACTGGACAGATATGCTTTTAAATTAGAAAAGTAGATTGAATTCAAACTTTTACACACACCTGGAAGATCAAAGACTAAGCCACCGAACCATCGAAGGCTTCAAATGCAACTGCATTGAACTACGGCTTTGGCCTTTGGGATTGTGGGAAACATTGTGGAGAGGCAAAAAAAAAAAGGCAGAAAAGAGCAAAAAAATTTGGACCATTTCTCGATTTATGCGTGTCATCCTTGCGCAGGGGCCATGCTAATCTTCTCTGTATCGTTCCAATTTTATCGGATGTCCCCGAAGGGACGAACTAAAGACTTAAGCGCGTGTATATGAAGAACTCATTAAATTTACAATACTTCGATGTGGGACAAAGCTTCCTCGGTTTTAAGAGCAAGTTGTTCAGCAGTTGGGCCTTTCCTTGTGGATCTAATAATAAGCCCAATGGTCACATAATTCCATTGGACAGTTCTTTTACCTATACCAAATTAACCTGTGGATTAATTTCTTTTTTCTGATAAATTAAAGTTAAGACCCGACTTGACAACAGGATATTTATACAACTCAACAGAATTCTTTTTTTCCCCAATTTGTTTGTGATGATAGGTTTAAAGAAAAACTTATTTTTGATAATATTAGGACGTTTTTCTTCTCAATTTGAATTGTTGGTACTTCTTTACAAGTAATTTTGTAGAGGCAAGTTCTACACAGGGGCTTTTATCAATTGTTTTTTGTTATGAGACAAAGCAAAATTACATTCTGTCCAATTGTTAGATGGTGTAACACTGGCGTCCTCGTCATAAATTTAGCAGTATTAAATTGCAAAATATGACTCTTTTCATGTTATGGGTCGTGATCAATTGGAACTACTTTTGACATTCTTCTGTGTACACAACAGGGTACCTCAAGCCCTTGTGAAGCATGGCCTGTACTTGATGGAGTGAGAGAAATGATGCAAAAATTTGTATGACGCTTATGTTTTTTGATCTTTCTATTTCTTGTACGTCTGTAAAAGAAAGTGCAGGTCACACAGGTTTCAGATGTCATGTTCCTAATTATATACCCATTCTATTTTCAGTCTGTCTCCATTGAACATGATCACCAGATGGAATGTACCCGGAAAAAAAATACTCAAATTTGTAAACCGAAAACTCACTATTGCTATTTCAAGAATTTCAAATCCTTATCCACAAAGACCTGAGACTAGTTCAAAGGACAAGGAACAGAACACCATTGCGGTCGAGACAAAAATTCATGACCATCACATTTAAACCAGCACTTTCGTACCTCTCAAAATCTCTTACTATACTAATAGCTCCCAGCATTTCGCTAAGCTCAACTCGTAAGTTTGTAACCCTAATTTCATTAATTGAATCTTCACGTACATTCATGACACTCTTTTCCATGCATAACCAGCACTGTTCTACAAAACAACCTAAAACCTTCATCCTGGTACCTGGCAGAAAATGCAAGCTCCATAGATGAGAGGAGAAAAAGGTGAAGACTACAGCTAAAAGCTTACAACAAAGCGCTCAGGAACTACGACAAAATAATAGCCCAGGACATCAGATAGCATCTTATACAACACAAACCCCCTCTCCAAAACCAACACCAAAACCTAAACTTTCCCTTACACATCAAGATCTTAGAACCCTGACAAACCAGTCAACCTGAAACATAACTTTTAATCAATCACTTAACACAAGGCCTTGATGTTTTCAATCGGGAATTTTCTAAAAATGATCTTCCGAGGTCTTTAAGAATGAAAATAATTCTCAACTTGCTAGCAACATAATTTATTCCCCCCTCTAATACTCTTTCCCCATTAGTAATTGTGATTTAACAGCTAAGAAGTAATAAACAAGATAACAATTATATATATGTTCATTTGCTAACATCAATGAAACAAGTAAAGAACATACTCCAATGCAATAGCACCTATTTAGATGACAGAAGAAACTCCAATGCAGCACAGATGTGAAAACCACAGCTCTTATGCAGGGCATTGAGAAACAAACCCTTATTTCACGCAGTGATGAAAAGTGAATAGTTAAGATTTAAAAACAAAAACAAAAGCAAAACTATTAAAAGTACGAGAGATCAATCCAACGAGACAAATCAAACACAACTCTTTCTCATTTTCACCAATTGCCACAATGATTTTTAGTTGCTGAATTCGTGACAGGACTGACAACACATTTTAAAGACAACCTGTCAATCAATGACATTGCGATTGGCAAATTGTTTCGATAGGAAACATTATATCTGAATTATGCATCCAAAATCATCAAATTCTGCACTTTCAAGAGAAACCCTACCCAAGTATGTCAAATTCCAAAACCAAAAACATGCCCGTATCCTCTGGGAAAAAAGATCACGACAAACTCTCTATGTATTCTCCACCACAGTTGCATTCCAATATCTACATTACCAAAGGCACCAAATCAAAGCAATGAGCAATGCATATAAGAAAACAGTAAAACTCACAGAATCCCAATCAATGAAACTATAAACTGAGAAGAACCCATTAATTAAAGCTCAAATCAAAACCAATTAAAATCAACCAAAAATACGTTCAACCAAAAGCAAAACTTCACATACAGTTAATCAACCCATCAAACCAGCTCCCAAATCTCCACTTCTGCACAATCAAACTCCCATTCTGCAACTCCAAATTGGTAATCGACACCGACCCATGAAAAATAGTATACTAATCTGCCCTCCAACCTCCTTGCTTATCTAAGCATTGCTCTGACTAAAACGACCCTTCCATCTATGATTTAAGAATTTCTCAAACAACCAAGATTGAAACTTCTAAAATAATACTCACCTAGCTTAACTAAAAGAAACATATCTCGGATTTATTCATCTTATGTTGTGAACATTGACTCGACTAAATAAAAAAAGTGGAGCAGCTCCTCACAAAGTGTAAGGGATTGTGGTAAACACCATGGAGAGAGCAAACAAACTATTCGAAATTTGGCGGAAAAAGGGCAAAAAAAATTTGGACCATTTCTCGATTTATGCGTGTCATCCTTGCGCAGGGGCCATGCTAATCTTCTCTGTATCGTTCCAATTTTATCGGATGTCCCCGAAGGGACGAGCCTAAGTCTTAAGCGCAAGTATATAAAGAACTCGTCAAATACACAATTCTTCGATGTGGGACAAAGCCTGCTCGGTTTTAATAGTAAGTTGTTCAGCAGTTGGGCCTTTCCTCGCGAATTTAATAATAAGCCCGATGGAGTCTGAGTCCCAATCTCAGGTACCAAATGTATCTGTGGATTAATTTCCTCTTTCTGAGAAATTAAGCTCCAGTAGTGAAGACCCGACTTGTTGACAACAGAACTCTTTTAACTTTTTTCCCCAACTGGTTTGGGATAATAGGCCAAAAAATAAAATTTGTTTGGGATGATATTATGGACTCATCTTGACTTGTACGTCGGTATTTGGTTAAACAAAGTTGGATAAAATATTTTGGGATGGTTTGAAGATTCTTGGACACATTTTTTCTTTTCAAGTAGTTTTGTAGAGGCAAGTTCTACACATGAGCTTTTATCGGTTATATTTTGAAGCAAATTCTACACGTGGGCTTGTATCGGTTATATTTTGTTATGAAAAAAATAAAATTACTCTCTACAATTGTACGATGGTGCAAGATCGGTGTCCTTGTCATAAATTTGATAACTTTGAATTGGAAAATATGACTCTTTTAACGGCTGTGATCAATTACAACTAATTTTGATATTCTAGTACACAACAGAGTTACCTTGTGAAAGCATGGAAATATCCCTGTATATCTGAATTTCACCCTCACGCTATAGATAATTTTTTGGGAGTTTCACTAAAACACCCAAAATGGAGGTTGAAATTATAAAAAAACCCAACACCCAAAACACTTTATAAACACACCCAAAACCCATCATTACATACACTCAAAACCCATTTATAAACACACCCAAAAAGTTGACTTTGGGGTTGATTTTGGGTGTGTTTCTATGTTTAAATAGTGCTTGGGTTTTTTTATAAATACATGTGTAGGATTGGGTTTATTTATAAATTTGTATAATTTTTTTATTGTTTATTGGCAACAATTCAGATAAGATTTTCCATTGTGGAAGACAGGTTTTCTGATTGTATAGGAAAACATTGCACAAGTTCTCTTTCATTGTTTTTTTTAAAGGAATTTCCTATTGAGAGGAGCAACAATATAATAAACTCATACACTATACAAATGCTACACTCACACACACTTCATCGTTAAATATACCGCAAGTAATGGAATGGCAGGGAATTAAAAGCAGAAGTGATTTGCATAGATAAAGCCTGGCCTGTACTTGATGAAGTGAGAGAAATGATCCAAAAATTTGCACAATGCAACCTCTGTATGTAATTCAAACCAGCACCTTTGTTCTATACTACCAAACATCAAATGCAAATTAACATCTCTTGGTTTGGCTACAAATGCAGCACCAAGCACAAGCTCAACTCATAAGTTTGTAACCCTAATTTCATAGATTGAATCTTCACCTACATTCATTAACACTTTTTACCATACATAACCATCACTGTTCTACAAACAAGCCTAAAACCTTCATCTGAAGCCTGATAACCGGCGGCAGATGCAAGATCCATAGGATCGACGAACACAACTACAGCTACAAACATACAACAAAGTCTGATAACTCAACTACAGTTACAAGCATACAACAAAGCCCTCAGGTGGGAAGTTCCAGCAGTCCACAGCATGACAGACAACGTACTCGTTTACAATGACAATAACCATGATAAGATGATAGCCCAGGACATCAAATAGCATTATACAACCCTAAACCCCCTCTCCAAAAAAACAAACATCAAAACCTAAGCTTTCTCTTACTCATCAAGATCCTAAAACCCTGACAAAGCTGGCAACCTGAGACATAACTTCTAATCAATCACTACCAGTAAAAGGCCTTGATGTTTCCGATCTAATGTTCTAAAACTGATCTCCCGAGGTCTTTAGGAATTATTTGGATTCGACACCCACACCAAATTTCCTTACTTGCCAGCAACATAATGCATTCATCCCTCTAATACTCTTTCCCCATTGTTAATTGTGAATCAACAGCTGAGAAGTAACAAGAAGATAAACAATTATACTTATGTTCATTTGCTAACAATGAAACAAGTAAAGAACATACTCCAATGCAGTAGCACCTATTTAGATGACAGAAGAATCTCCAATGCAACACAGATTTGAAAAACACAGCTCTTCTGCAGTGCAGTAAGAAACAAACCTTTTTTTTTCTTCAGTTAAGACAAAGAAGCAAAATAGTAAAAGTGCGATAAATCAACCCAATGAGACAAACCAGATACAACTCTTTCTCATTCTCACCAAATTCCACAATGATTTTCAGTTACTGAGATAGTGAGTGGACTGACAACACATTTTAAAGACAAGCAATTTATCAATGACATTGCGAAACATTGTAACATTAGACTCAGCAGATTGTTTTGATAGGAAACATTAGATCTGAATCATAATTCCAAAATCATTCAATTCTACACTTTCAAGAGAAACCCTACTCAAGTATCTCAAATTCCAAAACCAAAAACTGCCCGTATCCTCTGGAAAATAAGATCCCGCCATCCTCTCTCCGTATTCTCCACCACAGTCGCATTCCCATATCTGCATTACCAAAGGCACCAAAACAAAGCAATCAGCTTTTCATAGAAGAAAACAATAAAACTCACATACTCCCAAATCAATCAAACTAAAACTGAAAATAACCCATTAATTAAAAGCGAAAATCAAAACCAACCTGTCTTCCTCAGGAATATCCGAATGTGTTAGCTTGACAACAGTGAGCCCGGGTTCAGGCTCTTCCAGTGTAAGCCTCACCTGCAAAAATTCAAACAAAACATACTCAACCCACAAATCACAAAACCATTTAAAACCAACCAAGAATTCATTTCAACCAAAAAGAAAAACAAACTTGACATACCGTTGAATCAATGCCATCAGGCCAGCTCCCAAATCTCCATTTCTGCACAATCAAACTCCCATTCTGCAACTCCAAATTGGTACCCGTCACCGACCCATCGAAAATGCTAATCTGCCCACCAACCTCCTTGCTTATCTTGGCATTGCTCTGACTAAAACCCTTCCATCTATTCTCATCCATCAAAATCTCAAACAAATCTTTCGCTCTGCAACTAAACTTCTCAGTCATACTAATCGTCTTGAACCCTTTTTTACTCTCCTTCTTCTTCTTCACCTCCTTCTTCTCCACCACCACCTCCTTCTTCACCGCCTCCGCAGCAGCCGCTACTGCCGCTGTCGAATTACTCTTTGTGGCAATCTTCTTAGCCTCTACTTCGTCCTTAACGGGCCCACCCTTCGCAATACTCTCTACATAAACCCTAACCTTCTCCAAAATCAAAGGCTTCCCTTTAGCCAACATGGCCTCCTTAAGCCTCTTCCCAATGGGCCCCTCATCCTTCACCGAAATCTTGACCTCCGGGTCCTCATCAGCGTTCTCGTCCGCAATATAAGGAATCTCCACCACCCCATCGACCTTTAGCAGCGATTTTCCATCGGCGTCTTTGGCCTCGCCTTCCCAGGAAAGACTGAGGCTGATTTCGTAGCCGGGGATGATCTTGCCCTTCCGGATGTTGACGTAGGCCTCGCCGTCGACCTTGTCGACAGTCTTGGTCTTGAGATGAATGTTGCCTTCGCCATCGAGAACGGTGAGGTTGTTGAGGAGCTTGGTGAGGAGGTCGCGTGACCAACCGAGGCAATCGGTCTCGGCCCAGTGCCAGTTGTGGACGTTGGCTCCGTCTGGCCTGTCCTCCACGATCCAGCGCTTGTCACCCTCGCCGTACTTCGCCATTGATCAAATTACAAGTCCGCAAGATCGAGAGAGAGAGAGAGAGAGAGAGAGTGTTCTGGGGATAGAGAGGGTTTGGAGATGTGAGAGGAGAGAGGCGAAAATGGGGGAGAGACAAATAGGGGGCTGGAGAGAGAGTCTGGAGGGTTCTTGTGAGGAGAGTGGAAGGGTCTAGAATTTTGGGGTGGCTTGGCTGAGGCCCAATAAAGTTGGGGAACCAATTTCTTTCTAGATTTGGATTTTGGAATAGAAGGATCTGGAAGACTGGAGCCAGCCCTATTTAGGTTAGTTTGCCATTTGTATTGTTTTAACTGGGATGACTTGACAATTCAAAACAACAAAACCCCTGCTTGACTTGTTAACTCATCAACTATCTGTTCATTCTTTTTGTCCTTTAAGAGTGATATTGGCACTTCTAAAGAAAAAAAAAATCATGTAAAGCACTCTTTATGGTGCAATCTCTCAAAAAGTGCTTGTAGCTCAAAAAATTAATATCTAAGATCCTGTATTCGAATCACTCCTTCAATATCACTTATATCAAAAGAATGAAAAGTACAATTTCTCTAAAAAAATTCTTTTATCAGGGACTTTATGTAGTATGAATAACAATTCCCTCTTTTGTTTTATTTTTTTATTTTAAAATCAATGACTTACCAATTTAGTTGCATTTGCCCCAAGAATTTAAAAGGAAAATCATTAGTTTGTCAAATAGGAGAAATTAAATAGAGGCAAAATACTATAGATAAAATTTATATTAAAAAACCACAAATATATCAAAGCAGGGACAGATTGATGACTTACAGTAGATGGTTTTGTACAGAGAATGCAAAGGAAAAAAGGATTAGGAGAGACCACAATCATATCTACATTTTATACAATTTCATGAAACATTTCTTTTCTTGGTCCTCAAATTCCTTTTGTAGAATTCCCTGCTGGATATAATCCAACATCAGGGTGGCCTGAGAGTGTTTTTAGGAGCACTTATCCAAGAGGTGCCTGCAACTGCAAATCTCCACAATGCATTGACATGCTCAGGTAAAGCATACTCGATGCCCACACGGGGACCAATCAACATCTTTTCAGGCTCTGGACCGTCTAAGATCTCCAGACCACCTGACCGGAAGAATTCATTTAATTCAGAATTACACAAGTTCCTGTAGATTTAGAGATGAATATGCATGATTGCTACACGTACCAGGAGTATATAGGGGATGGTTAGACCATTCTGTAGAAAGTCCCAGTGCTTGACCGATCTGAAGAAAGAAAATAGTAACTCTTAACAATTCAAAAACAGCTAACACAAAGCAAGGTGCATGGAAATGAAATCATAACAATTCAGAAAAGTTATCAGTTTTCCTAAGCATAAGAACGCGGTGCGGTGTTCTTATTCTTGGAATACATTAACACCTATAAACATTTCAGTCAATTATCTTTCAATATATTTGTGCTCATTTTTCCGTCATTATACAATCACAATCATACAATCAACAAAGTCTCTTGTTTTTCTTTTTTGGAAAAACTAGTCAATCAGTTTTCAAATTGGGCTGACTTTTAAAATTAATAGGTTTCTGTTTTGATAGAATCATCACCACTGCACTAACACAGCATCCAATAACTAGAGTCAACCATCATCCACTAACAAAAATTGTACTAACAGAAGATTGCATTAGAAATTTAAAGAAAAAGGTGCTGACCTTTCCAGGTCCATTAAGTAGCACAGGCTTATCAGTCTTCTGACCTCGACGCTGCTGAATGGTCTCCAGTCCTATAATGATTTTCACTATACATATGAATAACACTCATCGAGAGCAATGGACAGAAGAGAAGATAGTTATATGTATGGAGAAAAGGAGACTTTTAGAGCTTTTTTTTCTCTGGGCCACCTTTGAGAGAATGAATTTTGTGTTGGGTAGTTTTTCAAGTATTCCACAGATACTTCTATCTATATATTTTTTATATTTCTTTCAACCCATCCAAACACATATGAGAGAAATTAGAAATCTTAATATTATGTTATTTGTTTTTGTTTTTCTAAAAGCAGTAACAAATTGCAAATAAAAAAGAGGTCCTTCTAAAAAGCTTCTGGTAAGCAATAACGAGAAATATAAAGGGTATTAAAGAGCTGAACCTATGTAACATGGATACTCAACACATTCTTCTCTCTATTTTCTTTTCTTCAAAGATTTGGCAATTTATGATAATCCATACCATCTCAAAGAGTCCATCGACAAAATTTCGAGCTACTAGCCTCACACAGTAGCATTGACTTCTTGTCTTTCAAGTACATTTCTTTCAGCTAAGCACCACTCAGAGTTATTTTTATCTTCTGCAATGCTATCAGCAAAGAAGCCCCGATGACTGCATTAAGAGTGCTTCTATTACCAGTCCAAAATGCTCACCTCATTGAAGCCCTTTCCTCACTCCCATTATTTCTTTTTTTGAAGTTATATTGCTCAACCCACCTCCAGTATTCCCCAACTACTCCTAAAACAACCCTACTATTTGAAAAACAAAATACGACAAATCTCTTCATTTATCCATCTTACCTACATTGTAAAGCAAAAGAAATTAAAAAAATAATAATAATAAGCGGGTTGCAATTTCCATATAATTGTAACGAAGGTTGGTTAGCAGCTGTTGACATATTGAATTTATAAATTTTCTTCCTCTCTCTGTGTGAGAATGATAGGACAAGACCATTGCTTTCCATTGAAACAAAAGGGTAGAAGCATATGAATACTAGCAATAGAAGGTAAACACAAGGGTAACTCTAGTTAATGATCGTAAGGGTATTACGACAATCTCTATGGAAAGTTACCACTAACTGGAGCACAAGAACGTATTAGGACGGCAGCTCCAACTCCCTCCTTGTCAGCAACAACATTCAGCATTGAATGAAGGCCATAGCAAAGATAAACATATGCATTTCCTCCAGGCCCAAACTGTATCCAACAACCAATCCATCACCAATGCAGTTTCCAATACATCAATATGAGTTCAAAGTTCTTGATGTATATTATAAAATTTAAAAGAAAAACAAATAAGGAATTAAATAAGGGCAGAATCTCACAACGGGAGCTGTTCTTGCAGTTACCCCAAATCGACCATGACAAGCCGAGTCATTTTGCCTATAAGCTTCTACCTGTCAGAAGATTCCCAGTACTGTTAACCAAGCTACCATTTAAGTGAAGAGAAAAATGAAGAGGGCCACAATGGGAAGATGAAAGATTTTGATTTTCTTCTTATGGTCTAAAACATATAGAATTAGTGCATTCAATTTTGACAAAATGTAGATCGTTTTGAGTTCTCACAAAAAGTCTATTTTTCCACAAAACGAAAGTATTTCAGAATTCCAATTTGTTTCCTTTTTTCCTCAGAGCATACAAAGGGGTAAAAAACGAATTAAGCTAAGATAATAAAAACCCAAGTACTTAGAAACTGCGGTTTCTTCTCGTTTACTACATTTTCTCGAGAAACAAACAGAAAGAAAAAAAGTGAGAGAGAGAGGAGTGAGTATTACCTCGGTAATCTGAAGAACAACATCGTCACGCCTGAGAAACTTGCCGAGCAAACGAGGGGCGAGGTCTAGGGCGTCAATTTGGAAGAAAGTGAAGGGCAAGATCGTCATTTCGTCGGGAGGATTATCTGGGATTGAGCCGGGTTTGGTTTGGAGTTGAGATTTGAACTTCTTGGGTTTGACCACCGTAACGGTCAGTGACTCGGAAGGTTGACTCGGCCAAGCTTCGTCGTCGTCCTCATCCCTGATTCGGTTGGCTGGAATTGGACTCTTGGAGGATTTTGCGGTGACTTGTTTGGATCGCCGTGTTCTCTTCATTTCGTCTCGCATCAACATGTCTGTTTGCTGGGTTTTGGCGGGTATTTGTTTGGTTTTCTCATTTTTCTTTTCTTTTTTGTTGTTCATTTTAGGGGTATTTATTTGGTTCTTTACACTTCTATTTTGATTAGTTTTAATTTACATCTTATAGGCAAAGACTTAGGTATAAGAATTGTAAATTTTGGAAATAGTTTTTTGTTTTAATTGTTAAACACGATGGTCTTTTTTTTAATTTATCAAAAAACAAAATGGGGCTTAAGTGATCCAAGCAAAATCTGCTAAAACAAAGTATCACCCTATACATGGGTTTCGAGCCAAAACTGAAGAAATTATTGTAAGATATTGGAGTATGGTCACATAGTACGTGAAATAAACAGTTCACATATTATAACATAGGCGCACAGTGTGGTTTAGATATCCCACTTCTAAGGTATAGTATCTTATAATTACTCAGAAAAATGTCATAATATCCACCCAGATGAAAAACTTGCATTCAGGCCGATCATCCAAAAACAAAATTATTAAAGAGGTCTACGGCAACTACAACCCTAAATCCTAAACTACAAGTTCTAACAAGCAAGACATCACTGTATATACATCCAACCAAAGCTCCTCTTTTCAAGTTTAGCTCCTCCTTATGCAAACCATGTTTTCTATATAAGCTTATAACGACTTGTTGAGAAGAGAACGAGTACACATTGCAAGGAAATCTCATGCCTCATTGCTCAAGAAACCCTGTGCCTTTAACCATATAGCAACGGCAGAGGGAATTACTGGGGACATCAAAAAAAGTGGACGAAAATATGAAAATAAAGATGCAAAAAGTTAGCACTCATTGTCTGTCATTCATCTAATCAAGAACTATGATACAGATATACAAGCTCTAAATCTAATGGAAGGGCAGCCCACAAAGCTGCAAAAACTCACCAAGAAAAAAAAAACTTCGAAAATCATCAGCTACAATACGTGTACACAATCAAATTTCACACCCTGATCTAGTGATGCAATATATCTTCAAGTCAACCGTAAATCTTCCACACAGGCCATCCAGAAAGAAGCAAACACCATCTGGACATATGAAGAAAAAGGTATTAGATGTTGGTCCTCCAGAAAACGTCAAATGCAAACAGAACATGAGGTTTTCCCCCTACCTAACAAACAAGCAATATAAAGTGAATTGGCCCGTCAGCCAGTGACAGCATGATTGTTCAACCACACGAGCAGGGACAATGAATGAACTAAAACTGGTTGATCCTGTCAGGAGTTGCAGACACATTGTTTTGACTCGTATGTACGAACATATTTTCTACGTACTAGGACGCAATTGGCTATAAAATTCAGTGAAGTCAAGCCGAAATAGGAGGAACTTCAAATCAACATGCTGCTGCATGGGCAACTTAGAAATAAAATCCTCAAGCAATGATGAATATTCTTTTGATAGTGCATCTAGATCTTGTTCCATATTCCGAAGAAATTCACCAGCACGTTGTGTGAGGGCCTTCCTACCCTCACTGACCCAGGACCCAGGCTCTGATGTATCATTTAATCGCTTTTTTGTTTTAATCTTGTTTCGAGATGGTATGGAGGATTCCAAGGTTCTGCAGCAAACCATTCAACACATTAGTTTATCAAAACAATTTAAGAAAAAACCAGAAAAAGAAAGAAGAAAGGAGGTAGCATTATTTGTTTCACAAATAACAGTAGTCACACAGAAAGAGCAATACCTTGCTTGCAACTCATTAATTCCTTCAGACAATCGATCTGCATGACTTCGGAATTTCAATATAAGATCAAACAAGGCAAAGAGTGAACTGTAAAGGGTTTGGGAACGTTCTCCAAGGAGGGATTTCTCCACAATCGAATGGAGGTACTTTTCATGTGCAGCAAGTAGATCATCAAGGTCCTTGGCCACCTCCATTTCATTCAAAAAGTTGGACCATGACACCTCCAAGACTTCAAACATAATATAGTATTGCAAGTTTGAGACAAAATGATTCATCTCATCCCAAAGAACCTGGCATCGCCTCAGAGTTGAGAGCAACTGCAACTTAACTGCATGCTGCAGCTTCATGAAGGAACGCGAAGTGATACAATTTGGTTTCATCGTTTTCCAAGCACCAATAAGAGCATGCTCTACTCGTCGAAGCTTCCACAAGAAATTAAAAATTCTTAAATACTTTGCCATCACAGACTCCGTAAAAACAGTATCTAGAGGAACTCTTGCATCATATTCCAATGAGAACACATCCCAGCCCCTATCACCAGTTCCATGTGGCATCATCTTTACCTTTAACCTATCCAATATATCATGATCATCATACTGAGCATTGGATGCTCGGACTGCAGTTTCCAGCAACCCAGCTAGCTGAAAAGAGCTTATAGTGTTAGCAGGTTCAGAAAGCTCTGGTCCGACAATATCCATTAGATACTGAACAAAGTCACCCTGTCCAAGCAGTAAATACCGCTTTATTGCAAGACAGTGCTCTTTGAACTTATACTGGTTGTAAATAACATCCAACAAATGCTTATCAACTCTTTTTGCTGCTCCATCGACCAAAGACTCAAGAGCATCAGTTTCACCATATCCAAGACCCCATCTTCTTGTTGAGGTACCAGCAGCAGCTGCCGCTTCTGTTGCAGCATCAGCCCAACCACGGTCCTCACAACAGACACGAAGGAAATTGATTGATTTGCCAGTCCTCAGAATGCGCTGCGCAAGAGATTGTGAAATAAAAGAAGGAAGCATCCCAGCATGGAGCAGGTAACCTTCCCTCCAAAGAGACTCAGCTTTCACTGGCTGACCAACGACAAAGAATTCTGCAAAAACATCTTCCAACTCTCCCTCCAAAACCCAACTCCTCACCATCTCAAATAGTGGAGAACACACCCGCCGGAGTAAGCGCCCCATGAACTCGTGCACCAATGGATCACCATGCTGGGCATGCAAATGAATAGCTCCAGCCATTGCCCCACCCCTTAAAACCCTACATTTATCAACCAAAACGGCCATCAACCTCATTTTCACCATTGGCTCTGCAAACCATACAGACAACCTCCTCAGCGAAAGATAATTCCCTGAGCTCGCTGTCTCTGAAACCAAAGGAATTGGATTCATTGACTGTGCTTCAAGCACTGCCAACAACTTGTAGTAATCGGAGAGCTCATCTTGTAATGCAGCACAAAAGGCCTGACCAACGGTTCCAACATCTTCAGATGGAAACCCATCCATACTCTCTGAAATATACCCTTTAACCTTCCTAAACAACCACCCCAATTCACAAAGCTTTCGAACCATAAGGCGGATTGCTCTCGGAACCTTAATCAAATCCGATAAAACATAGCCATCAGCACCAGAATCAAATTTCACATACTTTCCATCAATGCCTTGACAAGCATACAACACATCTCTCACCAAAACCTCTTCAGAAACTTCATTTTCTTCCTTAATCAAGTTCACAAACTCCCTAAATGCAATTTCCCGAAGATTTTCCGGGTCTTTCGAAACTAACAAAACCCCATTGTTCCAACCCTTTTCCTTATTTCCCTTACCCAACAAAACCCTCGACTCGTTGCCCAATTCACCGTCGTGTAACGCCAAATTGGGCAACAAAACCGAAGAATCCAACTGGGTTTTCACATTTTTTCGATCCTCAGATATAATTTTGAGCAAATAAAGGACTGCCCATTTGTTATTTACACTTCCTGGTCCGGTTTTCGATGCGAATTTAGTATAAAGGTCGGCGAAAGTGAGCGCTTGCGAGGACTTACCTTGAGTGGCGAGGCGGCGCTTGGTGGACTCGGCTATGGCGGCGGCATCAGGAGAAACAGATGGAGTTAATCGACTCGAGATCAACCGAAACGCGTAGCGAAGTGAGCTTTGGAATTGAGGGGAGTTGGGAGTTGGTGGGTGAGATTCAGAGTTGGGGTTTTGTGAGATCAAGCGAATGACGAGCTCTTTGATCAGATCTGCGACTTTTTGCTGGTCTTCTTCTTCCATTTGTGAGTGAGAGAGAGGTTTTTGAAGGGAAAGAAAGAGAGAGACAGAGTGAGAGAAGGGATCTTTCGAGTCCGAGAGTGTTTTGGTGATTGGTGAGAGTGTTGTTGAGTGTGACCGCAGGGTTTTTGATTTTTTTTGTTGGGCGCGGAAATGCGATATCTTCTTTTTCATATATTTCTGAAAAATGCACTTTTTTTTTTCTTTTTTTTTGGGGAAAAAAGAAGCACATAGTATCCAAAAAAAAAAATACATTTTAAGGTTTGAATTGTAATTTCAGCTGTTTGTTACAGAAAATCCACCTCCTGCTTATTTTGCCTACACCTCATGCTTCCTTGAGCTACTTGTCTAAGCCTTTAGAGTTCATTTTTGAATTTTCTTCTGTTATTTGAGTGTCACCTCACGCTTTAGGTGTATGAATCTGAACCATTTCTTTCAGCCACACTCCAGCTTCTGCTTGTCTCTTCACATAGTATACGTAGCATGAAAACATAGCTCTAGGTTGTTAGAGAAAAGGAGAACAGAAGCTAAAGAGCTCTAGGATTGCTTTCTCCATTAAGAAGAGGCTGAAGTGTTTTGGAGACTATAGTTTCAGCCTATGGAATCAGGTAAGTTATCTATTATGGTGTTTGCTTTGCTTTGCTTCCATCTTTCTGAATCTCTTAGTTTCTTTGGTATTGGGCTGCTGTTCAGGATTTCATTGCTTCTACTGATATCACAACATTGTATCATTGTAACTTCAGCTATATTTGCCATCATTTGATTGTTAAAGGGACTCGTATTTGAACATTAAATAGCATATGAACTTGTGGTTAATTCAGACCATCTGAATTACACTATTTGTGCATTCTTTTGAAGGAGTCAAGACCTTTGGCCGGCTAATAATAAGGTCATGCGACCACATGGGAACAAGGCCTGATTGGAAACCCTAATGAGGATTACATAAGCTATCTCATTGTTATTGTTTCTTTGATTTTGACTATGAATTGTATCTTAGCTCTTGAATTATTCAGTTTCGTTTTGTGTACTCTTTTTAGTCCCATTTTCAGATATTGTATAGTTGTGATTCTCACACTCACTTGTGGCCATATATAGTTGCTAACTGAGCTTTGTAGCTCACCCTTTTTCCTTCCGACTCATATTAGCTTGGAGTAGAAGATTGAATCTTTTGGTGATGTATTGGCTGCTGTTTAGAAGATCTGTTTATTTTGGTGACTTTAGATTGTAGTGTTATACTATTGGATACACTATGTGGAAATGGAAGTGTTTATGTTTAGTTTTGGTAACCTTGCAGATCGTGGTAGTTCTAATTGAGCAAGTTCAAGAGTTTACTTAATTGTTCTTTGAGTGAATTTTGGTCTAATTTTGGGCATGATAAGCTCTGTCTAAAATTTAATCCTTATCAGTTCTCAACCCTCTTTTCTCGTATTCTCAATCTTCTGGTCTTTGTTCTTCAATCTCTCACTCAAAAACTCACACTTTTTTTGTTCTTTGTCCATGTAAATCTCAAAATCCAAAATTTCATGTCTCTTTGTTTGTATTCCCTAAATTTTTTATGTAGGTACTAATTCTTTTCTACTTTTTTTTTTATGTGTTAAAGTTATTTTGTCTTTCAGATTGATAGTGACCAAGAGGAGTTGAGAATTTGAAACCTTTAAATTATTAATTTTTGCTAAGTTGGAAATTTTTTTTGAAGTCTATCTCATTGAAAAAAAAATGATTGGTTTGTTAGGGTTTTTTTTTATAGAGATTTTTGATATATATATTTTTTTAAATATGAAGATTTGAACATTAGGATTATCATGAGGGAACACACGTTCGATTAAAATTATCTTATTCCTTAAACACATATAGAACCTATGGTTTCGTAAAAATAAAAATAAAAACTCATATTAGAGTCCAAGGGAATATTGCAATTAATTAAAAAAAGCAGTAGTGCACATATCATTTCATTTATTTAATTATAATTATTTATTGGAATATTTGCAATTATAAACCTAAGGCAGTAATGCAATCATTACTGAGTGGAGTTCCGCAAAGTTGATTTTCAATAGAGCTAGCCTGATCAAAGCTCTGCAAGACTGATGCTTTTTTATATGAGCATAAACTAGAAAAAGGAGAAAGGGTCATAGAAATTTTATTTAGCTCTCGTGTTTTTTTAAAATAATAATTAATTAACTGTTCTCTTTTTCTGTGAGTCTCAAAGAAAAACTCTATAGAGGGGGGGAGAGGGAAGAAGCGTTACTGCCCCTCTTTCCTCTCATCTCTTGTCACATTTTTTCTTTTGGGTCAGTGAATAAGTCCATTAGGGCGTTTTGAATAAGAAGCTCCTTGTGGTAATTTCTTCTAAGCCATGCTCATATTGAAGTTCCTCATCCCCATTTTATCCGTTTTCAATCAAATCATTCTTCCAAAACCTAATCTCTAACATTGCTCATGTTCTCTAAATTTTAGCCTATATCGTATTTGAAGGAAGTTGTTACAAATCATCTAATTGTTCTTTATCAAGGTTGTTGTTTTCGTTTATTTGTTCGCTCTTATGCGTATGTAGATCGTTATAATCCATGTTTTCCCCAAATCTGTAACGGATGCGGTCGTGGGTGTGGCCGCGACAACGCTTCTTTAGGTGGTGGTGGTAAGGTTTGTTTAAGCTGTTGGGTTGCTTTAAGGTTTATGTTGGATATGTGGGCTTTATTTGGGCTTACGGTTAATTGTGGTGATGTTGGCTAGTAGTTTTAGTGCAGCTTTGTCCACTTCAGTTTTGTTTGTAACATGTTAGTTTGTTGCCCTATTAGGATTGGTACTAGGAATGGCAACGGGTTAGGTAGGGGCCGGGCATGACAATATCATCCTTATACCCGCTCTCCATCCCCGCCCCTGTCTTCGAAAGCATCCTCGTTTAATAAGTTTCGGGGAATCCCCATCCTTATCCCCGTCGGCGGACTATACCTCTATACCTGCCCCAATCTTTTTTTATCATTTTTAACATTAAGTTTCATATTAAAATATCATTCAATGCATCTAACTTAACTAGAGATATTTAGTCATATACTCATTCTTAGCACTAATAATATAGATAAACTCTACACAATTTAATTTTATAAACAAACCCAAAAAAAATTCAAAAAATGACCGTTAGCCCTATTGAATTTAATTTTGATTATTAAATTACTTTGCTGCCCTATTGAGTGTTTTGAGATTTTTTATATGAGTTTTTGGGGTTGGGCTTGTTAGAAATCTATGACAGCTTTGTAATTTAAAAGAAGTTAAAAGCCTTTTGTTATGTTGTAAATGGGCCTTGTGTGTGTTTTTAAAGTTTATTTCATATAGGGTTTTATATATATATAAGGCTCCTATATTGGGTATAATAGTTAATATCCCAATTAACTATAAAGTTCAACTCAACTATTCAAAATCTCATCAATATGAAATCCCAAAGAAAATTAGGAATAATTAGGAGAAGGAGATTAACTTAGGATTAAACATAAATATTATAATTATATATTTATTTATTTAAATATAAAAATGTATATTTTCGGGTTGGGTTCGAGGACAGGGACGACAATACCATCCCCGCCCCATACCTGTCAGAGATTTTTCAAGTTCGGGGATCCTCGTACCCGATATCCGTTTGGCCCCGAAATCTCCCCTTGCTAGGGTCGGGGACCCATCCTCGTGGGGATTTCTGATGTTGATGTTGTTGATTGTATTGGTGAAGTTTATTTAATGAAGTTTCTCTTTTATAAAAGAAAAAAACAACCAATTAACTCAAATCAAATCATGTGCATGCAAATCCAAACTCATCCTCACAAATTAAGGAATCCAAATATGGAAACTCCAAGTCACCAAATACAAGTCTCTTTTTACACCATCGATATTGAGAATGAGAAATTCAAACAGTACTGCTCTTAACAAATTAAGTTGCAAGACCTTGCATAAATACAAGTTTCAATTATCAATTTGGCTTCTAATCTAAATATATAAAGGCAAAAGGGCTTAAAAGTGAAACTTTCAATACCCCTAAATATGCTCTTGGTTAATTAAAAGGGTTAATTACACTTTGCTACGTTGTGGTTACCTTCTTAAGACATGTTAGTCAATTCTTTCTCAATTTTTACAATAACATACCCCGAACTTTTAAATTTGTTACAATGTGGTTCTGCCGTTAGGGTTTCTGTCAAATCTCTTCGTTAGTTGCATACGTGGCACTATAGATCCCACATTTTTTAATTTTTGTTAATTGTAAATTGATTAAAATATGAACAAAATATTAAAAACTAAATTTATAAATAAATAAATAAATCTATCTCTCTCTCTCTCTTCTCCCTACATTCCCCCTAGGGTTTCTGTCAAATCTCTTCGTTAGTTGCCTACGTGGCACTGTAGATCCCACATTTTTTAATTTTTGTTAATTGTAAATTGATTAAAATATGAACAAAATATTAAAAACCAAATTTAAAAATAAATAAATAAATCTATCTCTCTCTCTCTCTTCTCCCTACATTCCCCCATGACCACCACCCTCCATCCCCGACAAACCCAGAACCCAGAACCTAGAACCCCAATCCCCATGAACCCAGAACCCACAAAACCCTCTCCCCTCTCTCCCCCCCCCCCCCCCTAAAAAAACGATTTTCTTCTTCCCCCACCCCATGCGATTTATTCTCCATCCACCCCCTACGATTAGGGTTGGATTAAGCTAGCACATCAATTGAAATAGATAACTTAATTAAGAAACAGAAACCTCTGAACCAAAGAATAATAGTATAATTAAGAAAACAAACGAACGATTCTAGTGGGTGATATTCTCTTCCACAGAACCAAATAACCCAAAAGCTTAGTCCTTCTTCCCTTCCAAAATCCAATTCTATCCGCAACCTAACCATCCAAATCCAAATTCAATCATAACACTAATTAAACACTTTTATTATTAAAACCAAAACACAATCCAACAAAACAAAAATGAAAAAACACTATTAATCAATCACATGTTGTTGCATTTCAGCAACAGCAGAAGTAGAAGAAAACCCACCCCAATCATTCTTCTCTTCGAAAAAACTCTCCCAATCCTTCTCAGGCCTTCTTCGTCAGCGATCATAGAACAAATTTCAAGGCTTTCATAGCTTGCTTTCTGTTATGGGAATGGAGGTAGAGGTCTCCGATTCAAATCCCTAGGCTGATGCGAAATTCAGGAAGAAGAAAATTCTCGGGTGTGAGGGGGGTGGGTGTAACATCCTACATCGACCAACGGAGATGGGGTGATGTGCCTTATATGTATATGCTCGCCTCCATTTAGCATGAGACCTTTTGGGAGCTCACTGGCTTCAGAGTCATGGGAACTCCGAAGTTAAGCGAGTTGGGGGCTAGAGAAATCTTAGGATGGGTGACCCACTGGGAAGTTGCTCGTGAGTTCCCAGAAACAAAACCGTGAAGGCAGAGAGGGGGGCTCAAAATAGACAATATCGTGCTACGGCGGAGCCGATCCCGAGATGTGACAATTTGGTATCAGAGTCACTATGCCGTGTGGTGCGAGTGTGCCGACGAGGATGTTGGGCCCCTAAAGGGGATGGATTGTAACATCCCACATTAACCAACGGAAAAATGGTGATGTGCCTTATATGTACATGCCCGCCTCCATCTAGCACGAGGCCTTTTGGGAGCTCACTGGCTTCAGAGTCATGGGAACTCCGAAGTTAAGCGAGTTGGGGGCTAGAGCAATCCTAGGATGGGTGATCCACTGAGAAGTTTCTCGTAAGTTCCCATAAACAAAATCGTGAGGGCAGAGAGAGGGGCCCAAAACGGACAATATCGTGCTACGGCGGAGCCGATCCTGGATTGTGACAATGGGGAAGAAGAAAATCGCAGGGGGGGATGGGTTCTGTGGGTGGTGGGTTCATGGGGGTTGGACGGTGAGAGAGAGAGATTTATTTTTCAAAAAAAATTTGGTTTTTTTGGTTGTTTGGTTTTTTAATATTTTAATACATTTAAAATTAATAAAAATTGAGAAATATATGACCCACATTGCTACGTAGGCAACTAACGGAGAGATCTGACGGAAACCCTAACGGCGGAACCTCATTATAACAAATTTAAAAGTCTGGGGTATGTTATTGTTAAAATTGAGAAGGTAGGGCAAACATATCTTAAGGGTATAACCACGTAGTACTAAAGTGTAATTAATCCTAATTAAAAACACCAAAACAAAATATTGGAAGTTTCATTTAGGCCCAAAATAGGACCCAAAATATAAGAAAACCTACACCAAACACAATTTAGAAAGAAACCTAAACCCCATTTACAAAAATCAAATAGCTCTTGAAAATCCTATGAATTACAAAGCTGCCATCTCATCCTTAAAAGAATCTCAAATCGAATTTTTATAAAAGAAAAAACAAAACCAATATTACTAAATGGCCTTATAAACCTATCAAAATTGAAGCCCATGTCACTGCTTTAAAAATATAATTAGAAAACCCAAAACAACGGCCCAAACACTAACCCACCTATAAGTAAACTGATTGCAGCAAAGTCCAATTCCCACTAAAATTGAGGTTTAGTTCCAATTTGGTAACATGTGATTTCATTCGTAAGACATGTTTACCCATTTTTTTTCAATTTTAAGAATTAGATATCCTAGTTCCCAATTTTTGGCAATGTGATTCCACCGTTAGTGTTTCGTAAAATCTCCCTTTAGTTGCCTTTTTAGCATTTATGAGTCCCACATTTTTGTTTGCTTTTTGTTTTTGTTTAAGTATAATAAAATATTCATAGAATTTTTAAAAATCAATTAAAAATAAGAACTAAAATTAAAATATAAAAATCCCATCAGTCCCCTCTCAAAGAAGCCACCACCCACCAACCCCCTCCGTCATCTCCACCCTCCCACTCAGCCACTTCCATTAGAAGAAAAAAAAATTCAGATTCACAATGAAAAAAAAATAGAAAAGGAAATATGAGGACCCATTGCCTCCGTGAGCAAATGAATCTTATAATCTCTAAGGTCGTTTAATGAGGCGGACTGTCATGGACTGAACTAAATCTTATTGCCTCCTTCTCTCTCCTTATTTTTCTCTCTTTCCCCTCTCTTTCTTTTTTAAATAAACCAATAGATGTTGCTGGGGTTGGGGGCAGTGCAGGGGACGATGATGGGTCGGAGGAGATGGGTTTCCAGAGTTGAGTCGAAAGAAATTCTAAAAATATGTTCTTTTCTTTTGTTGTTGGGTCCAATCAAATCTTGGAGCTTCAGTTTTTTGAATCAAGAAAATACACTTCTTAGAGCTTCAGTTTTTCAACCTCAATTTTGTTGAGGTAGAGAAGTTGCGGGAAGAGAAAGTGATGCATGGCGTCAGGGAAGAGAAGCCAGGCCAGTGTGTTGGATTTGCTTGTTCAGTTTAGCGATGGTGCTATTTTGTGAACCACATTTCAAGCTCACTATATTAGAGGTGCGAGTGAGCCATTTTTTTCACTGTTGGACTGTATAGTCTCTTTTAAGTTAGTCATCTCTCTTATCAAACATGGGTTTTAAGTGCTATTTAATCCAATCCAGTCCAGTGAAGCCTACCAAACACGCCCTCTGTGTATAAACTAGGTCATCTCTCCTCTAGGTGTCTACATATAAGAGGGTATCCAATTCAAGTTTCCTCCTCCATATGAGTTGAGAGAGAAATAATTAAGGAGGAAAAGGTCGCTGGTGGCTTACATTATGAGTATCCACCAAGGGCGGAGGTAGAATTGTAAGATTGGGGGAGTTGAGATAGAAAACACAAGTATATCAAATACATATAAGTGTTTAAAACACATGTTAGAACTAAATTTTTCAAAATGAGTCATATCTAATTATTTTTAAAGGGGTAATTAATTAAAATTACAAGTTGTCTATTAATAAGTTGTAAGGGATTAAAAAAAAATTGGGGGACTCAGGGCCACTCCTGGCCTAGGAGTGGGTCCACCACTGGTCTCCACCACAAAATTTTCACCTGCAACCTGTCTCGGTGCCTTCTTATCTTCTCCTGTAAATTTAACATGGCAACATTACTGTAAATCACAGTACAATATTAGTGCATAAATAGTGTAATAGAACTGCAATACATTTATGTTATGTTAGGCTGGCTTACTTTCACTTAAATTGATGCACTTGTTCGAACTAATTTCTATGAATTAACAAATTGCAGACAAAATACCTCTCAAGTAAAACAGAGGGAAAGTGGCACAAAGAGCCCAAACAAAACAGAGCTTTTCACATAAAATTAACGTAACAGTTCGTGCATCATAAAGTTCTCTTGGGAACCCTAAATCCATCTATAACATTAAATATATATATTATACAAATGATACATGAGGAAATAATAAACAAAAGGCACTGCTACTGCACCACATAAACAGATTCAAGCAAACATGTTCCAAAAAACTGCACGATATATATTCATATGAAGTATATCAATGCAATAATAGTGTACTAAAAATTTAACATAACTGTTTATGCATCATAAGTTCATCTCATTAAAACATACATAAGCTAAAGTCTATGAATAATTTCTATACATGAAATCAATTATGCAAGCAACATATTAGTTTTCATTTGAAGAAAACTAAACTCACAAAAGCAAAGACAACCAACTCATTACATAATGAGTTGTTGCAACTTATTCCGACTTAGAAAGAGTCAAACAGAAAGTTAACACATGAAATATAACTCGCACAACTACTGTACTTTATCCATCATTTTGATACACAAATTTTATGATATCTTGAGGAAATTTTGGAACCACTGCATCGAGTCTTTTGGGTATCTTTTCAGTCCATTGGCATAATCAACATAGTTGATACCAAACCGAACAGTGTATCCAGAATTCCATTCAAAATTGTCTAGAAATGACCAAGCTAAGTATCCTTGCACATTAGCACCCTTTCTGCAAACACAAAAAAAAAGAAAAAAAAAAAGAACTTATTTGGGTCAATGTAGTGATTAAATAAGTGAAATGTACGAAGGCCAGACCATTCGTTGACAAAAACATACTTAATTGCTGCTTGGAGGTAACAAAGGTGGTAATAGTAGTAGCGACTTCTATCAGGATCCTTAAGGGCTATTTGAAGTGGTACTTTGTTATTATTGAACTCATCCACACCTGCAATATAATGTAGTATCATATACATACAATTTTTTTAATCTAAAAAGGAAATGTGCATTCAGTTTTAAATTTAGAGTTTACAACTTTAAAAATGTATTTTACACCATTATACATATGCATTAAACATTGATGATACAATTAATTAATATTTAAAAGTATTAATTACCATTCTCAGTAATGTACATAATTGGATTATTATACTTTTCCTTTGTGTAGAGTATAAGATCGTAAAGTCCTTTTGGGTAAATATATAACCAGTCTGAAGCAGCCTGCAATCTCATTTGAAGATTAGTGAGAATTTCTAGAGTTATATATGTATGTGGAAAACAAAATATATGTATGGGTATTAATTGTCAAAATACCAATAGGTTATGCTAATAATTTTTTACGTACCTGTGGACCAATGGGAACCCCATTCAACTCAGCTGCCACAATATATATGAATATGAATATTAGGATATAATTATTCTAAGAACTTCATTAATTACTTGAAGTTTTCAATTTGTACTTACTTGTAACATTAACATAAGGATCAGTCATGTAGCTTGGAGGCGTAGGTATTTTATAATCTGCAGGGTAAGCGCTTGCATATCTAGCAGAATAGTAATTTATTCCAATAAAATCATATGACCCTTTCAGCAACTTGGATTGTTCATCTGTGAATTTTGGTAATCGTTTTCCAACAAGAGATCGCATGCTATGTGGATAGTCACCACTTATCAATGGTTCCATAAACCTATGGAAATATGAAAATTCCAAGCGTGAACTTATAGTATTGTATAAAGTAATGCTATCTAGCTAGTCAATGTTATAATTCACAAATAAAGCATTGAAATGAGTTTATATATAAATGAATAATACACTTGCCATCCAAACATAAAATCCAAAGCTCGAAATGCAGCATCTATATCATGCTTTGCCTTAGAAGTGGGCACAAACCAGTAAGTATTCACTGTTATTCCTATCACACCTTTTTGACATGCCTACATAAGAAAATTGAATATGTTTGTTGGTTCAGAACGAGATAAAAAATAAATAAATCTTTGTTTGTCTACATATCCAAACTATTCCTTTTTTATTGTTACCTAGTACTATGCAGACCAAAGAAGAAGAAGAAGAAGAAGAAGAAGAAGAATAATAATAATAATAATAATAATAATAATAATAATAATAATAATTCGTCAAACCTGATATTTGTCTTTGTATAATTTTACAGCGGCGACATGAGCAAGGAGTTGGTGGTGTGTCACCAAATATGGTTCAATACCCGAATTTCCACCGAGGCATGTTTGGTCGTACCAATAAGAGCATCGGCCTGGTGCGTGGACCCCAATTGCATAACCATGGTTACTCACGGTATATGGCTCATTAGCTGTCACCCAATACAGTACTCGATCACCAAATTCCTTATAACAAAGTTCTACGTATGCTTTAAAGTCATCGCTGTGTACACACATTTCAAAATGTATTTATTATATATAGTATTATTTATTTATTTAAATTATCAATAATATCTAGTGCTTGAAATTTGTTCACTTACACAATACGAGGGCTTAAGAAACCACCATATTTCTCTTGTAAGGCTTGGGGAAGATCCCAGTGAAAGAGTGTAACATATGGTTTCATACCTTCATATAGTAAAAGAAAATTAAAATTAAAATTAATTTATGTTTGATGAGTGCATGTCCTACATTAATCTAATGGGGACGATATATGAGATTGCTAGTCGTATCACCTTTCTTTAGGATTTCATTGATGAGATTATTGTAGTATTCGATTCCCTTCGGGTTAGGTTGACCGGTTCCGTCTGATAATAATTAAAAACAACAAGCAAATATAAGCCAATACTTACCTATAAATACAAATAACATAAAATAAAACGTGCTAAAATTTAAATTGTTTTGTCACGATCAAATATGGTGATGCGTATGATCAACTTACTTGGTAACACTCTGGACCATGAGATAGAGAACCTGTACACTTCCATGGACATATTCTTTATAATCTCCACATCCTCCTGCAGTGACACAATATATATATATATATATAATTATAAGATAGAAGCTAAAAACTAAGGATTCAATTAAAATTCAGTGTGTACACTTCAACTACAGAAGGCCGAAAGAATGAAATATGTGATTGTAGAACCTTATAGCGATGATATTCATCAATAGCTACATCTCCATTACTTCGATCAGCGATCTTTTCTACAATTAACCAAAGATAATTTTAACTTTTAGAGCATAAAGTTCGAGGAAATGTAGACTAATCATGCATACCACATGACCACTAGTAACTAAAAATAATACAAAGTAATCTAGATATTCAAATAGCTAGCGACCTTCTTCTTGTTGTCACTTCTCACTTCTTTTCAAGCTACGTGTCATTCCTTTTACATTTTAAATATTGTCTTTAATACACTAAAAATGCTAAAATTAATGTTCCATGTTTACCCTTATTAGATGTAATAGCCTTCTTCAATTCTTTACAACTTTCTAACTATCTAGCGGAGTTGTCTCCATTTTCTTGGATAAGGTTTCAAGTTCGACATATATTTTTGGACAATTTAGTACCTAGTCGTCGTTATGGTGGCGTAACTCTATTGATGCATTATCCCATTGTAAAATGTACAGTCTCCACTTTAATTTCTTAAGAACCAAAAATAATAATTTCCATTTTTTCGTTGAAAGAAAATATTCATACTCTGAACATTCTTTTAAGGTGTACATATTTTTTTTTATGTGCCCTTGACGTACTAGATTAGGTACGTAATGTATTCCAAGGCCTTACAAAAATGTTCATAATTTTTTTAATTAGTAAATTCGCATATAATACACATACTGTACATATATATACTCTAGTTGATTGATTGGTTGACAGACCTGGATGGTTGTGGGTGAAGGAATCCCATATGCTTGGTCCTCTACCATCTTCGTTTGCAGCACCTTCTACCTGAAATGTGCATACGTACGTATACGTATATATAAGAGGATATACCGAATGAAGATGTCAGAATTCATACATAAATGTTAATTATCTGACATTGAAATTAGATTAAACCTAAGTAACGTAATTAAAACAACTTAAAGAGTAATTAATTAAGCCATCGAAGGGAGATGATGACCTGGTAAGATGATGTAGCAGCGCCAAATATGAAATCTGGTATAAGAGAATCAAAACTGGCCCTGTTCAGATTTGGGCAATCAATGCGTAGAGAAGGTTTTTCCCAATGCAGCAGGCTTTGGTATTTGCCAATGCAAAGCCAAAGAGAAGCACCACACATAAGAGCAAAGAGCGTAATTGCATTGACATAACCAAGTCTTACAAGTGGAGAGGGCTTTTGGTGCTCTTCCTGCATGGAGTTTATATACAGCCTAGAGGCTACACGCGAGAATAAGTTATAACATGTTAACAACGTTTTTTCTTTCTTTTGTAAACGCATGCGGGAAATTTAAAATAGTTTACGATAAATTAGTACATTCACAATCTGTTTAAAGTGAATTAAATTAGTTCATTCACAATCTATTTAAACCAAAGATGTTTGCAAAAAACATGCAATGGTGTGATTAGCAGCTAAACAGGGATGGACTCAGAATTTTAAAATAGGATGGGCTAAATTTATCTTGCGTACAAACATACTAAGTCCATCTATAATGCTAGATAACTCAAACCCAAAATTTCACACTCTAAAATGTTATTCATGTATATCCCCAGTGGTGGAGGTAGAGTTTGATATTTTGGGGAGCCATAAGCTTAAAACTATGGGATTTTTTGTGCATTCTATACTATACTCTTTATACAGTGAAAGAGGTGAGAAGATGGTAGGGGGCCCAGGCCATCTCAGGCCTATCAATAGCTCCGCCCCTATTATATCCCATACTCAAACAATTTTCAAAATTCTTTTTTATGTTAATTTTACAATATTAAACAAAAATTTATTACAATATTAAAGTTGAGGAATAGTGTGTGGTTTTAATTTAAACAAAATTTGACGGAGTTTTTAGTGTAGTTTTTTTTATGTTAATTATTTTTGTATGTGAAGATTATATTTGAATGAATAAATATAATGAGGATTTTTTTTTTTTTTTTTTTTTTTTTTTTTTTTTTTTTTTTTTTTTTTTGGATGATTTATTTGAAGAGTTGAATGTTAATAAAGTTGGGGAAGTGTGGTGGAATATAGGGTGGACTAAAAAGAGGAGGTGCCTCACGCGCAACTCCACCTAGGCAATGCACTAAGTCTGTCAGCTGGGGTCCATTCACGTGGGTTGATTTGAACTTGGGGAGTGAACTCAGGTGTGCTGAGTTTGCTATCTGGGCAGATTAGTCGTAGGGGTATGGTCCGTCCTTGCAGTTAAGCTTCCTTAGAATGGAATTTGTAAATTTTTCAATTTTTTGTGCATCATTTTTTATTTCTTTTTGGTTTAATGAACTATGAGGAATGTTTTCAATAGAATTTTTAGTTTTATTTGATTTGGAATCCAATTGAAGGGATTTTCAGAAATTGAAACAATATAGTACCCAATTATTTTACCCAAATAGTATAATACATGATGTGAAGAGTACTGCTATTTCCACCCACCTGTCCTATTTTCCTACCCACCTTATCTTTAAACTTTTAAAGACACATTTAACCATATTGTAAAATGACTTGAAAGGACTGAAAGAAAAAGAAAGAGAAAAAAAAAGTAAGACTTCTCAAGTTCTCACATAATCCTATCGTTTGACAGAAGAAAACAAATTGTCTATGAAGAAGAAAACAACAAGAGAATAGATGTTGAAGAGAATGATTTTGGCGAAAAGGTAAGGAAATTCTATTTGAACAGAATTTCTAAGATCTTTACGATTACTTAAAGCATTGGGAGACGAGTATTTCTTGGACTCTGATTTTTTTCCTTAAACAAATTAAAAATCTGAAAACCTGGGGATGAATCAACAATTCTATGATTTGGGCTTTGTTGATTACACAAAGAACCTTCCTAACAAAAACCTGAGGATTTGGCTTTGAGGATTCTGTTGAAGGGCTTGAGAAGGTTTGAGGGGGGGGGGGGGGGGGGGGGGGGGGGGGGGGGGGGTGTAATGGGTCGTTGGTTTTTGAGGAATGCAATGATTTGGTGGGGGATATTTTGCATGAAGATGTGATGAAGAGTGTGAAATACATGGTGGAACATTTGATGAAGAAGAACAAGGTCTTGCTGTACCATGGGAAGTTTGATTTCAGAGATGGTGTGGTTTCCATTGAGGCAAAGAGAGATGTATAGTAAACATGAAAGACAGAGAGAGATGGAGTGTGAGAGATGAAAAATAAGATACAACAAAAAATGAGAGAGAGACGTGTGGGCCATCAGAGAGAGAGAGAGAAGACATGAGCATAAAGGATAAAAGGAGAGAGGAAATGAAATAATAATTAAAGGGGTATTTTAGGAATATTAGTGGGTGGAAAAATATGATTGTGTTTTTTAAAATTTATATGATGGGAGAGAAGATAAGGTGGATGAGAAAAATATAACAGGTGGGTGGAAATAGCAGCACTCATAGCGAATTATGCTCTCAATTGTACGTCAAAGTCTATTAAATGTGGAGACAATAAAAGTAAAGGTATATAAAATATTTGATCATAAACGATTTTGAACTCCTTGAATATTTAAAGGAAAGCAATTTCTAAAAGAATTGTCTCTCTATTTGCAAACAAAAATTCGTTACTTACGCAAAAGACCCACTGGCGTAGTGGTTTGGAGCAATTACTCCTTCAAAAAATGAGAAAAACTTAGTTACAATGGGGATAATACTATTTTTCTCCCATTGGCCAATAATACTATGCCACGTGAAAGTGTTATCACACGTGTGTGAGTTTTGGGTTCGAGTCCTAACATCAGTGTGTGAGTTCAATATATTATTGTCAATCTCAATAGAAAAAGACCCATTAAATATGAGGACAAGAAAAGTAAAGATACATAAAATATTTGATCAGAAACGATTTTGAGCTCCTTGAATATTTAAAGGAAATAAAAAATCTAAGAGAATTGTCTCTCTATTTGCAAAAAAAAAATACGTTACTTACTGCATTTGTATCCCATGTTTGTAGTGTCAGCCATAAACTTGACGCTAGCTATAGACGGTCTCCGCTGTCGGAATTTGGGTAACAATAGCGGCAAATCACCCAAGAGATTAATATGCAAAAGATGATAAGAGAGAAAATTTTGGAATTGGAACTCAGAGGTCTGCTCCAGAGAGAAGTCCAGACTTGTGTTTTCCTTCTTTTTTCAGGGGATTCACTTGGAGAGTGGCCCTCTCTCTTAAAGTATCTATTGGAATAATAATAATCAGACACATGAAATTTTTTTTATAGAATCTTTAGTAAGTGGCCCACGTTAACCATCTCACCAAACAAAGGAAAGGCTAACTATAGAGCAACACAAAATTCCACCCTCGTGGCTTCCTAGTAGCCTATATAAAAGTTTGCTTCTTAAAGTTTCTAACAAGGACAGCTCGAGCTGCTTTATATTTTAGACTGGTTGGTTTACCTCACACGGTAGCAGTTCATTGAAAAAACCTTCATGTCAAGTAAAAATAGGCCTCCCCTGCCCACAATTTCTATATGCGGTTCAAATCAATGCTTTATTTTTGTTAGTTGTTGTAAGAGAGAGTACTTTGAAGGATTAGATGGATAACAGACAAAAAAGATTGCAAACTTATTCTTTGGGGAGCCCATTTGGGTTGAATTCAAATTAAATAATGATGCAGTGAAGGAGTGACCAAAGGAAACTAAGCATTAATTATTGTTGTGCAAATTAGTCTTTCTGTTGTTTGGTAAGATGATGAACAAGTGGGCCAATTATTAAGATTCCATAAGATACTTAACTACATTGCTTCTCCAGATCGTTTAGTGTTGCATCGTCTATGTAGCCAAATTCCAATCCAACTACCTAACAACCCGTTTTAAACCACTACCATTCATGCTCTCACCCAGAGATCTATGGCACAAACCCTAATATCAATACCCCACCAAGAATATTGTATATAACATGAAATGGGGAACATGGAGTGACCAAAGAGATTCATAAAAGTAGGTATTTTTTATTTAATTGATTTGAGTTTTCAACCAAAAAATCTGTTTGGGTTTCTGGGGCAGGTAGCACGAATCAAATAGAGAGAGTAATGAGAGACTGAGGGGGAATAAAGAGAACAAATTGAGTTTTTCCGTTTGTTTGTTTTTGTGCAACTTTTTTCATTACCAGTTTGTGTGGACCTGCAATAATGATCGGAGGAAATGGGGAGAAAGCAGAGGTCGGAGGTGGCTGGGCAGTGGGGAGAGGAGGAGAGTGAGTTTTTTTATTTATTTTTTTGAGAATCAAGATTTCATTAAAAGAACTCAAGAACAGAGTACATCTGTAGAAAGAGATAAGATCAACCATGTAGGTGCTCTCTCAATCCAAGAAACAAAATCATTACAACGGATTGCAAGTTGAGCCAAGGTATATGTGTCGCCTTATTACGGGTCCCGAATCTCTGTATTTAGGAATTGTATATTTATCCGCATTTAAAAGAATCTTGAACATCCATTAAATCTAATGGGTAAAAGCAAGTCACGTTGCATGGTTTTTTTTCTCCATAAACTGTAGAATTTAAAGCTTGCCGAACATCTTTCTATACCAAATGGTGGAACCCAGCAGAGCAATACCGACACCTATTCGCCTTTCCCGATTGTTTGTTTGTTTTTTTTCTTTTTCTATCCTAAGATATTCTTGTTTTTATTTTTAAAAATCTTAATTCCATAAATTCCATTTTTTATAGTCAATTTATAGATCCATGAAAGGCCATTCCAAATTTCTTCATAACATATTATCTAATTATGTATCTAGGTTTCACCACTGGTGTTTCGTATCTCAGTCTTTAGATCAAGGACACCTCATAAAACGAAGGGCCAAAGCCATTTTTTATCAACAGGCTCACCACAACCTAATACTCAACCAAAATTAGTTTGGTTCAAATACCTAATCTTCCTGAAAAACTCGCATTTTCTTTCATCAACTATACTCTGATGCTCAACTCACTGGAGGTTTGTTCTTTCATGTTGAAGAACTCATAAATATGGGTAACAATGTGCCAATGCTTCTCTGTGGTTGAAGAAAAATTGTTCTCTAAATTTATTGTAAATTCTGCTATAAAAAAAAATTATTGTAAATAAACAAAGGAAAAAAGAATGAAAAAAAAGGATAAATTAGAGAAAGTTAGAAACGGTATATTACGAGAGGGAGGAATAAGAAACAAAATCTAGTGTTGATGCCACTTGGTGAACAATGTTTGATTACTTGGTTGTTTAAGATTTTTCTGAATGCATATAAATGTACAATATTTTATAGTAGAGACTCGATTTTATTCATCAGAGGAAGAATAAAAAATTTACTCAAAAAAGAAGATGGAAAATTGACGTCGACAGTTAGCTGCAACAGTGTGTTTTGTGAGAGAAAAAAAAAAGTTACGTTGCTTGCTTTTACCCATTAGATTTAATGAATGTTCGAGATTCTATCAAATGCGGGTAAATGCACAGTTCCTAAATGCAGAGGCTCGAAATCCCCTTATTATAGTAAAAGGAAGCTATGGTTTGTGAGAGAGCAAAAAAAAGTTCTTCATTGTAACCGAATGGGTTCTTTCATACTAGTGAATTTCTTAGATGGATAACCAAGAGAATGTAGGCACAACACTGAACCTTTATAAATTTCTCATGTTCTTTGTATTTGTGTTTACTTTCGATTGTTGTGTACTTTATTCTTGCATGGCTTGTGTGTGTGGTAGTTGCGTAGTCCATCAACAACAAGGTCTTAGAGTGTTTTCGCACATGTCTTTCTCTATTGCATTTATATTGTTTCACACTTGTTATTTTGTGGAGATCAAGGACCCAATTTCCTAACATAAAATCCCCGATTTAGTAACCAAAAGCACATGTGATACAAATCCATCGTGCAACAGCAGAAATGACATATTCGTATTGAAAGCCAAAGCTAAATAGAAATAAAACAACCTAAAGATAAAATAAACCAAAGAAAACTCTTAAAAGAGTTCCTGAAAATTATTAGACTTAAACAAACTATATTAGCATTAACATTAAGACATACGCAATTATGCAAGCAACATTAGTTTTCTTTTGAAGAAAAATATTGTCCTTTTAACAGAGCACACGTTTTCTCAAATAAGCACCGGGACATTTTCTTTTGAATTTTAATAAATCCATGGAGAATTGACACACTAATATCTTGTTCTAAGTTCATTTTAACTTAAAACAAACTAGATATCTTAGTATAAGTAGCAAATATTTCGATCGGGGCTCAACATTCATTTCTTTTAGTTTTTATTTTCATTCATTAGTTTTTTTTATCTAGAGGAAATCACTTTAATCACTTAGCCATAAACAACAGCTGACCATAAGGACTAATACAAACACATGAGGGATACATCAACAACATCTAGAGAATAAGGTATGCCTCCAACCACATCCACAAACAGCCAAAGCACCTTCACCACATAAAGCGAACAAACTTGGATAAACCTAGCAGATCAACAATATAAACTAAAATTAAAACAAAACTCACACAAGAAAAGACAACCAACTCATAATGAGTTGTTGCAACTTATTCCGACTCATAAAGAGTCAAACAGAAAGTTAACACATGAAATATAACTCACACAACTATTGTACTTTATCCATCATTTTGGATTCAAGTTTGTGTACTCTTTAGGAAACTTTGGAACCAGTACGTCGAGTCTTTTGGGTGTCTTTTCAGTCCATTGGCGTAATCGACATAATTGATACCAAACCGAACAGTGTATCCAGAGCTCCATTCAAAGTTGTCTAGCAATGACCATGCAAAGTATCCCTGAACATTAGCACCTTCTCTGCAAATATACACACAAAAAATGAATAAATTTCGGGTCAATGTAGTGATTAAATAAGTGAAATGTAAGAAGGTTACACCATTTGTTGACAAAAAAATACTTAATTGCTGCTTGGAGGTAACAGAGGTGGTGATAGTAGTAGTAAATTCTATTGGAATCCTTGAGGGCCATCTGAAGTGGTACTTTGGGATTATCGAACTCATCCACGCCTGCAATATAATGCGGTATCAAATGCATACATTTTTTTAATCCAAAAAAGAAATGTGCATTTAAATATAGAGTTTACAACACTCAACTGTATTTTACACCATTATACATATATGTTAAACATTGCTGATGCAATTAATTAATGTTTAAAAGTATTAAATTACCATTCTCAGTAATGTACATAATTGGATCATTATATATTTTCTTTGTGTAGAGTATAAGATTGTAAAGTCCTTTTGGGTAAATATATAACCAGTCTGAAGCAGCCTGCAATCCCATTTGAAGATTAACGAGAATTTTAGGAGTTATATATGTATGTGGAAAACAAAATATATGTATAGGTATTAATTGTCAAAATAACAGTAGCTTATGCTAATAATTTTTTACGTACCTGTGGACCAATGGGAACCCCATTAAACTCAGCTGCCACAATGTATATGAAAAAGAATATTAGGATCTAATTATTCTAAGAACTTCATTAATTACTTGAAGTTTTCAATTTGTACTTACTTGTAACATTAACATAAGCATCAGTCAAGTAGCTTGGAGGCGTAGGTATTATATAATCTGCAGGGTAAGCGCTTGCATATCTAGCAGAATAGTAATTCACTCCAATAAAATCATATGACCCTTTCAACAACTTGGATTCTTCATTTGTGAATTTTGGTAATCGTTTTCCAACAAGAAATCGCATGCTAGGTGGGTAGTCACCATTTGTCAATGGGTCCATATACCTACCGAAATATGAAAATCCAAGCTTATAGTATTGTATAAAGTAATGCTATCTAGCTACTCAATGTTATAATTCATAAATAAAGCGTTTAAATGAGTTTATATATAAGTGAATAATACTTGCCATCCAAACATAAAATCCAAAGCTCGAAATGCGGCATCTATATCATGCTTTGCCTTAGAAGCGGGCTCAAACCAGTGAGTATTCAATGTTATTCCTATCACACCTTTTTGCAATGCCTACATAAGAAAATTGAATATATTTGTTGGTTTAGAGACAGATAAAAAAGATAGTAAAACCTTTGTTTATTTACATATCCAAACTATTCTCTTTTCTATTGTTACATAATACTATGCAGACCAAATAATAATAATAATAATAATAACTCGTCAGACCTGATATTTATCCTTGTACAATTTTACAGCGGCGGCATGAGCAAGGAGTTGATAGTGTGTCACCAAATATGGTTCAGTAGCCGAATCTCCACCGAGGCATGTTTGGTCGTACTTATAAGAGCATCGGCCTGGTGCGTGGATCCCGATTGTATAACCATGGTTACTCACGGTATATGGCTCATTAACTGTCATCCAATGCCTTACTCGATCACCAAATTCCTTATAACACAGTTCTGCGTATGCTCGAAAGTCATCGCTGTGTGTACACATTTCAAAATTGATTTATTATATATAGTATTATTTATTAAATTAAATTATCAATAATATCTAGAGCCTGAAATTTATTCACTTACACAATATGAGGGCTTAAGAAACCACCATATTTTTCTTGTAAGGCTTGGGGAACATCCCAGTGAAAGAGTGTAACATATGGTTTCATACCTTTATATAGTAAAAGAAAATTAAAATTAAAATATGTTTTTATGAGTGCATGTACCATATTAATGTAATGGGGATTATATATGAGATTGGCAGTCATATAACCTTTCTTTAGGAGTTCATTGATGAGATTGTTGTAGTATTCGATTCCTTTCGGGTTAGGTCGACCAGTTCCTCCTTATAAAAATTAAAAACAAGAAGTAAATATTACCCAATACCTATCTATAAATATAAATAACATAAAATAAAACATGCTAAACTTTAAATTGGTTTGTCACGATCAAATATGGTGATGCAGATGACCAACTTACTTGGTAATACTCTGGACCATGAGATAGAGAACCTATACGCTTCCATTGACATATTCTTCATAATCCCCACATCTTCCTGTAGTGACACAATATATGTACATAATTATAAGATAGAAGTTAAAAACTAAGGATCCAATTAGAATTCAATATGTACACTTCAACTACAGAAGGCCAAGAGAATAAAATTTGTGATTTTAGAACCTTATAGCGATGATATTCATCAATGGCGACATCTCCATTACTTTGATCAGCGATCTTTTCTACAATTAACCAAAGATAATTTAACTTTTAGAGCATAAAGTTCGAAGAAATCATATCATGTAAACTTCTATGTGTAGACCAATTATGCATACCACATGACCACTAATAATACAAAATAATCTAGATATTCAAATAGCTAGCAACCCCCTTGTTGTTGTAGCTAAAATTCATGTTCCATGTGTACCCCTATTAGATGTATAATAACCTTCTTCAATTCTTTACAACTTTCCATCTATCTAGTGGAGTCTTCATTTTGTTGGATGAGGTTTCAGGTTCGACTCACATGAATGTATGAATGACATATATTTTGGTCAATTTGATACATGGTCATGGTTAATATGGTGGCGTAACTCTGTTGATGGCGCATGATCCCATTGTAAAATGTATACTCACCACTTTAATTTCTTAAGAACAAAAACAAATCCATTTTGTCCTTAAAAGAATCCGAACATTCTTTTAAGGTGTACGCATATTTTTTGCATATGCCCTTGACGTACTAGATTAGGAACGTAATGTATTTCAAGGAGGCCTTACAAAAATGTTCATTAATTGATTGATTGGTTGACAGACCTGGATGGTTGTGGGTGAAGGAATCCCATATGCTTGGTCCTCTACCATCTTCGTTTGCAGCACCTTCTACCTGAAATGTGCGTCCGTATTACGTATACGTATATATATACAGAATGAAGATGTCGGCATTCATACATGGATGTTAATTATCTGACATTGAAATTAGATTAAACCTAAGTAACTTAATTAAAACAACTTAAAGAGTGATTAATTAAGCCCTAGAGGGAGATGATGACCTGGTAAGCTGATGAAGCAGCGCCAAATATGAAATGTGGTACAAGAGAATCAAAATGGGCCCTGTTCAGATTATTTGGGCAGTCAATGGGTGGAGAGGGTTTTTGGCAATGCAAAGCATTGGTATTTGCCAATGCAAAGCCAAAGAGAAGCACCAAATATAAGAGCAAAGAGTGTAATTGCATTGCCATAACTAAGTCTAAGTGGAGAGGGTTTTTGGTGCTCTTCCTGGTATACTGCTGCTCCATGGAGTTTATGAAGAGCCTAGAGGGAGGTGGTACATAAAATATTTGATCTCATCTTGATTAGAAACGATTCTGAGCTCCTTGAATATTTAAAAGGAAAGCAAATTTGCAAACAAAAAGTCGTTACTTGACGCTAGCTATAGACTGGTACACGTAGTAGCATAAAAAAAAGTTTGGCCGCACTAGTTGTTTAAAAGGTCAGAAGTACATGCTATGGTTTTCTATGCGGTTCAAATCAAATGCCTTAGTTTTGTTAGTTGTAAGAGAGGCAATAATTAATATTTACTTAGAGCATCTACAATCATGCTCCCTATTTTTCAGTTAAAATTTAGTCAAAAATACACAAAAGCAAATTGATTATTTTTTAGAGAGCCGATTTGAATTGAATTCAATGTTTTATTTTTTACCTACAAGGTAAAATATTTTTTTTCCGTACATGTATGTGAAAGATTTTATTTTTATTATTTTTTTGTATAAAAAATATATATATATATATATATGTATGTATGTATATTTATACAAGCAACGGTGTAAAATGATATAGTTAGGTAAAGTGACTTATTTAGGTACTGAAAAGTTTAGATAAGGGAAATTCTACTTAGGTATCTGAAAACTAAAATGTACTTTCATTCGGTACATTAGAGTTGTACGTGGGTAAATTAACATTAAACTTAAGCATGCTAAAATCCTACTTAAGTTAGGTACATTTATAATATAGTTAGGTATACACTATGGGTGAAGCAGTCTATAGCTAGCGTCAAGTTTATGGGTTTATAGGTTTGGGTTTATTAAGATTCTACTATGGGTTCTTATGTGTGGTCTACCTTTTCTACGGTTTCCTTGATAGCTGCAGTTTCTCCAAAAATATAAAAAGTTCAATTTTAGTAAAATTTAAGCTTAACGAATAAGAACACCGGCATGGTGCTAATATACCAGTTGCATAATCAGGGGCGGAGTCATGTTGGGACCAGTGTGGTCCCGGGCCCCCACTCAAGGTTTTTTATTTTTTTAAAGTAATATATTGTTATTTATTTCTATTCTATATGTATATTATTTCAAATATTTTAGGGTTTGATATGCACCCACATTTGTTGTGCCGAACCTATTAACATTAAGGCACAATGAGGTGCTTCAAATTGCGTTTTGCTCAACTGGTGGTGATGCACTTTAGGTGTACAGATTACCTTATTTCCACTTTCAACATTTAAGTAAATGTCTTTGTCATTTTACTTTCATTTATTTTTATATTACTCCATTTACTTAAGTTCACAATGTAAATAAGGAAGTACCCCCTATTTGGATTAAAATAAAAATACTAGAAAATCAAATTCCCACCAAATCAAAATATGAAAAATCGGTTTTAGTGCAAAATATGATTTAGGCTAAAAATGATGGCTCATTAAGTCAATATATACTTCATACTAAAATCTCATAAAATCAAGTTTTCTTAATTGAAGTATAAGGAATAAAAGCCGCCAAAAATTATCTTGAGAAAATGATTATTCCAAAAAATCATTTTTCATACTTAGTCAATAGTTTTACATAAATATTTTTTTTTTCCATGTATGATATGAATGCATGAAGGGACCTAAGGTTTTTTTTAGTTTGAGAAATTTTGATTTTTTCTTTCCATTGGGTTTAATGGGGAAAAAAGCTTTAAAGATATTTGCTAAATTACTACTCTTTGTCTATTTCTAGCAATTTTTCTTGCTCAGAATATATTTGTCTATCCCTTTGTTGAGAACAATTATGATTGCAACTAATAAGCAATATAAATCTTGACATATGTGATATATATATATGCTATTTTTCGTATGTATTGTGAATTTGAATTTTTGATTCTTTATAATTTATAAAAGGCCCCCACACACATAAAATTATGGCTTCGCCACTGTGCATAATCACCCATGTCTCAACTCAACTCAATCAACACAAGGCAAGCCGACTTCAATCCAACTAAGTTCCATTGAGTTTAGATAAATATAATTATACTAAGTATCTAAAGTGCACTTTCAATTTAGGTGCACTTTAGTTCCTTTTTATTATTATATATATATATCAATGGGGAAATTCCACTTGGGATTTATTTCAACAATGGAAAGAAGTACGACTAGACCAATAACTAACCAGTACGTACATTAAAATCCTAATTTATTGAATTAGAATTCTACTTAGGTACGTTAATAATATAGTTAGGTCATCTCCCGTTGTAAGGCTAAATGTAATTTAGGGTTAAATTTTAGCCCTCCAAAATATTAATTTTTTAAAGAATAGTGTAGGGCTAAATTTTTCCATCTCTAGCCATGAGGGGCTATATTTTAGACCCCTCCATATTTTATTATTTTGAGAAAAATCATTGTACAACACTCATACATTCCACTGCTATATATTGTTTAATTTAATTAAACTACTATTTAGAGACAATATTCCAGATATATGTGTATGTTGATAAGAATTTGAAGAAATATGGCAGTATTTATTGACATATTTTAGGTTTTTAATTTTTTTTTTAAAATAAAAAAAGAAGAAGCCAACAACGGCAATTTTGAAGGAAAAAAATTGATGCATTTCAAAAGGTTCTGACCTCCCAATGGTCAGAACCAATTGTTTATAATTTTATTTTTAAAAAAAAATTTATATACATTTAAAAAGTAAAAAGAGAAGGAAAAAAAAAGAAAGTTAACGTTTCAAAAGATTCTGACCGTTATATATATGCAGAAATTCTCTTATGCGGACATCTGGATGTTATTATCGTGCAGATGCCGTGTATTTTCTATTACCCTTCTTTTCTTTCCTCCTTATTTACAATAGCATCCGTGCGATAATAACATGCGGACATCCAGATAAGCGAATAACTAATATACATAAATTCTCTTATGCGGACATTCGGATGTTATTATCGTGCGGACGCCATGTATTTTCTATTACCCCTCTATGCTTTCCTCCTTGTTTACAATGGCATATGCACAATAAATATTATAAATAAATAAATAAAAACTAATTTAAATACATTTAAAATGTTATAAATCACCCTTTTGATCGTAGTTGCATGAGATATTCCGTACTCTCACCCACGGGTGATACTTTCTCTTCTTGGACATCACATATGCTAGGCCCACAAAAAAATTTGGCATGGGCTACAGCTAGGCTACAAATGACATGGGAGAAGGACTAAAGGGCTAAATCTGGCCCTCAAAATTTGGTCAATTTTATTTTTTAGCCCATGGCTGGAGATGCAGTAGTGGTTCCAGGATTCAAAAGTCGGGTAGAAAAAATTTACATACTAAACTCGACCATTTGAGTGAATTTTTTTTTCTTCCCATGCTTTGACAACAATCCAATATCATACTGGAACTGTGAAGAAAAGAATATTAGCCTTGAAAACTAAGTGATAAAGCCTGAGCATTAGTGGTTGCACGTCGGGCTCTCTCTCTCTCTCTCTCTCATATGCCTCTAGGGTCTTGGGTTTAGGGAGCTACATACATATTTTATTTTTCTGAAAATTTTTGGGTAGGCATACATGGTTAGATCCATCGCTGTGGAGATGGGTTTTGTATGTTTTGAGGGCTATTTATAAGCTATGGCCAAGGCTGGAGATGGTCTTAAGGACACTGAAACTAACAAGTTTAAGTACCTTAAAGTCTAGATATTTTAAAGTTTGTATATGTGAGTAAAGCTAATTGATTAATGCATTGATTAAAGAAAGGATGTCACTAAATGCCTCCCAGCTTCTAATGGTTGTGTTATTTTTTTCCGATTGTAATAATATAACACAATCCATGGTTCATCATGGAAAAGTCTTTTGATAACGAAGCTTAAATTCCCATGGCTACAAGGAAATTGGGTATAGCAGCAATGTGTATATGCTTCGTGCTTTATGGTCTCAGTGGAAGATCACTAATAAGGCCTTGTATTGCGTTTGGGTAGTTTTCCTTTATTTGGGTTGGCCTGTGTTTTTAGCCTGATCGTGTGCATTGTTTGCTAGACCTTTTGTAGTTTTTGTTGGGCTTAATTGGGCCCCTTAGTTGTTGGTTGGGTTGTTGCCATTTGTTTCTTTATTATTGTTTAAATTTTTTTATAAGTTCCCATTTGTTTCTTGTCTCTTTATTCTGCACTCGATTCAAATTTTTTTACTCGTTATTTAAATTAAATTAAAGTAGAATATCATTTGTATAAAATAAAATATCAATGTAGGTCATAACATGTGTACGTATGAATTTTTAATTTTATTCCATGTGAGTTTTTAAGTTTTTAACCCACTTTGTATTTTTGTCAATTTTTCATACAACGGAAAAGACAAAATATCTGAAACATATCAGATTCAACATGACTGCTGTATTTATTAGCTTTGTTTTTTCAGAATACGTATATTAATTCAAACATCAATACATTTATTATGAGCTTTGTTTTTTCAGAAGCATATACGAACCTACTTCACGGGATACTGTTTTTCTTTCCCTTTTCTCATTGTGATATGTGGGAAGAAATTTGCAATGCCAATTTCAAAAGGCTCATGTTTTAAAATCGGAAAGACTCATGAAGATCTTAGAACTCAAGTGATTAAGAATTTTTAATCTTCTCACTCAATGTTCTTTTTTGTTCTTTTATATATCTTGTAAAAAAAAAAAAAAAAAAAAAAAAAAAAAAAAAAAAAAATAAGAAGGTAATCAGATTCTAAGACTGCCTTTTGGCAAAAAAAATTAAAGTGCTTTTGAGAAATAAAAGCACTTTTTGAATAAAACACTTGATTGTTTAATTCTTCCACTAAAAATACTTCTAACAAAAGGTATACGAGTAGAAATATTTTCATACATGAACAGTCTCAAACGTGCCTCTAAATCTAAACATGAAACCGCCTCTTAGAACAAGTTGTACACACGAATGTTTTGGTTGCGCGCAACTATTAACATTAGTTTAAACAAGTTTGTCAATGCAATAATATATTGTGAATAAATTGCAGTGCAACAATGACAAAACTAAAACTGGTGAAATGAAAGTAGGACTTCCATTCAACCATGAAAGCCATATGCTACCAGATGGAACAAGTCGTACACACGTAGTATGAATAATAGTCTGAAAACATTGCCATATGTGGTTACCTAATCATTGGTTTTTCTCTTTTAATACCAGAGAGGTTACCTAATTAATATTCTTAGATTTTATTCATTTCAAATTCTTATTATATAGTTGATGCAGATACTAGAGCAAGAACAAAAGATAGGCCAAATTTTTTTCAATATTAATGTAATTAATCATCTCTACTCGTAAACATTATCTTATAAGAATATATCATGTCTGGAATTTGCCCATAAAAAATGATTAAATTATCCAAAATCAAATATTTAGATGGTCCTAGAAACCAAGGTGGGTGTGGTCCATGTTTCTGGTGAATTCTGAAACCCTAATTGTTAAGTTCCAACGTATTGTTTTGGTCTCACAGGACAACACATCATCCAAATTGCTCATTTCAGGCAAGCTCATGTGAGAGGTTGCCTTTGCTTCCTTCATGGGCAACCACCCAAATGGTGGAAATTTGAGAGTACAGAAACTGCCAAAGTTCCTAGAAACAGTCAAAGTAAATTCTGGGTTTCTCTGCCAAAGTTCCTAGAAACAGTCAAAGTAAATTTTGGGTTTCTCTTCTTTCTCTTGCTTAAAGGTTGGAGCAATGAGATGATATCTTGTGTTAGTGACAGTCTTTTGTTAGTTAGAAGTATATAAAAATGTCATTAGCAGTATAATATCTTTTGTCAGTACAATTGAGAATAAAAATTGCCAGAGTTCTTGGAAATAGTCAAAGCAACCATGTGGAATGTGATACCAATATAGCACACCGATATGATGTTAGGAGTTCATTCAAAAATTGTATCCAATCATTAATATACAATCTTAAAGTTACTATGTGTTTATAAATACTTTCAATAACTCTTATTAAAAATTCAAGTACTTTCTAAATAATCATCCAAAAAGCACTTATATGATTCTAAAGAACTTTGTCTTTTTGCCAATCGATATTCGAAACATATTTTTTTAGTACAAGCGATAATCTAAACTATAGAAGGAGAAGATTTCTCGCATACACACACTACCACAATGTCTTAAGGGTCATTTTCCATTAGGTTAGACCCATTTATTCTTTTTCCTATTAAGTTTTTGAGAGTCAAAAATCGCTTTTTAACGATTTCATATATAGTCGCAATACAACCTTAATCTTTTTGTAGGAAATATATTTATTTGGCAACAATTACAACCTTATTGTTATCAACCCACAAAAATCCATTAAAAACCTAGTAGGAGCTGTGTGAATTTGGGAATTCAAATTTCATATCCTTTTATTTATTTTTATCAGGCAAATGAACCCTATTTGAAATCGAGCAGCGTCCCCATTGTAGAAATTAAAGGCGTCAACGTGCTTGAAAAAAAAAGAAAACAAAAAGAACAAAACAAAAAGACTGGAATATTCAAACATCGGGTGCGGGGTAGAGGCAAAATTGGTCCACGCTTGGGTAAAATTTAATTTAACAAACAATAAAATAAAAACAGTTGAGTAATTTTTTTTTGTGTTCAATTTCAAACCTTTAAGAAATTAAACCCGAGAAACAGAAACCGAATATTTTATTTTCAAAACACATAAGAAACAAAAAGAAAACCAAAATAAAATCACAAAACAAAAACACATTTAGTGATTCTGAAGCATACAGACAACAAAGGCCATCGATGGCCAGCACCGATGCGAGCAAGGCACTCTTTCTCTTCAATTTCCATATCCGGGTAATACGCGTGTTGTTTCTGGGCTCGTCGTTCGATTTTCTTTTGTCTTTGTTCTTATTTGGGGTGTTGCAATCTCAGTTCTTTGTTTGTTTTAGTATTTGGGAGCGAGACCCAGTTGTTATTTTGCTTCAACTGGTGGCTCGTGGAGGCATTTGGCTTGGAAATCTCGTCTGGGTATCTGTGTTTTGTTCTGTTCTTTGTTCTTTATGTTGTGGTTTTGTTTTTTCTTTTGATTAGTAATGGTTTTGGAGGGGAATGGGGTTTTGTATTGTTTTTAATTTTTAATTTTTATTGTTGCAGGATTTATCATACTGCTATTTTAAAGTGAGGGAAGTTAGGTTTTGGCAAAATCCCAGCTTTTAGTTTGAAAATTGGTATCTTGGGGTGGAAATTTGTATGGGAATTTGTTTTCTCTCTCTCTGAAATTTGCTTTCATCAATGATTATGGTGAGAAGGTAGACTTTGGAAAGCTTAGTTTAAACTCTTGTTGATGAATTGTTTTGTAGTGCAGCTTTGAATTGGGGTTTATTGTATTGAGTAAGCTGGTTGCTTGGTTTTAAATGAGGAATGGGATTTGCTTTATTTTTAAGTTTTTCTTGTAAAATTCCAAACTTATTGTTGTTAGAGCAAATGACGAATGTGGGTTTTAGTCAAGCCCAGTTCTGAATCGATCTGAGTTTGTCCTCGTCTTGCTGAATATGTTTATAAATCTGCAAATTTGTAACCTATGTAACAATGGAAGCTGGAAATGGAAGTTTCAGTTTTGGTTTTGGTTTATCATGATTTCTTTTGACTTCGTTCTTCTGTCTCATATCACTTTTAAAGCAGAAAGACTTTCCATTTTTACTTCAAAATATTTTCAAGGGGCATGATTTCTTCTCCAATCTCCATAAAGTCCTTTCTTCCTTTTCTTATGAACTTTTTTGTTGCTACCATAATAATTATGCAATAATAACAGTTGGATATTGATTTTTAAACTAGAGATATTAAGCAAACATAGTTATTTTATAATTATGGAAATTCATAACTTACTGCACCCTTTTCTTGTAATACTCACTATCAAAACAAATTCCACAGTTCGTACCAGTAATCAATTTTCCAGCATTTTTAGAGCTAGAAGGGCACTTTCAGAGCTAATATGAAAAAATACAGATATTTATTGGTGTAAGGTCGACCCTAGGAGATTGAGAATCTCCTAGCTGCCAAGCAGGAATCTTTTCCAAGCTCATTAGATATCCGAAAGCAACTGTAGGTTGCATCATCTGAACTGACTTTGCTCATATCTCATAACATTTCTAAGTGTTTTGCGCTGACTAACCAGTGCCATACTGTGTCTATTTCATGAAAGTTTGATGCTAACCTTGTTCTTTGTGTTTTTTCTGGATTTTGGACAAGAGTTGAATAATAAATTGTGTAGAAAGTATTTCATTCATAGCATGTGATATACCATTTTTTTTTATATTTTGTTTGACAGAAATAGCATGTCCATGGAGAATTGAGAGTGGAACAGAGGGCAAGTTGAATATAGTTTGGGTCTTTGAGCCATAATTTTTTTTAAGATTTGAATCACTCGTGTCTTCTGGGGGAACTTTGCAAGGGGTTCTTCGATTTGAAACATTCGTGACTCCCGGGGTCATTTTGCAAGGGGGTTCTTGAGTCTCACCTAACAGTTCAGATTATGACATGGCAATGGCAAAGTTGGAGACAGGTAGTATGCTCAATAAAACTTCCCCTGGTTTGGGTGGAAAAAATGGTCTTTATTCAACCAATGGCGTGCATGAGTTACTTGAGTGCCCTGTCTGCACAAATTTGATGTACCCTCCTATTCATCAGGTACATTTGCAGTCCAGATATGTTATGTTTCACCTGAATTTTCTGTTTAACAATTGAAATTAATATTACTATATATCACAAAATCATGCAGCCTATAATATTCTTTGAAAATTTATTGGTGTTGCCTTTATATTTCCTATGGCAGAACATTCAGGGAATGCAATTGCAATCATGAAATGTTTTCTACTTACTTCACTTTAAATGTTTTATAATGTATTTAAATGATGTTACAAATTAAATATTATTTACAGTTAACTTCTTCTCATCACTGGATAAAATATAGGATTGTATTTTTAATTACTTTTAAAAAAGAAAAATGAGAAAAAAGAAATTATTGACCAAATGCAACATACATGAATTAATGGTTTCTAGCATAAAGGTTCTTTCCCCCCCTTTCCCCACCCCACCAACCAAAGTGACCTTGACAAGACATGGATATATTATTTTCTGAGGGATTTTCTGTAAAGCCTCCATGAAGGAGGCTAGAGTTCTTACTTTTCTCGTTACATATGGGAAAATTATTAACAAAGCAACGGTTGAAAGGAAAGAAAATGTTATGGGTGCATACATGGTAGCACATATGGTGTAGGTAATAGTAGCGGATTATATATTTTTAGTTTAGATGACATTGAGTATTAGTCTTAATAGGTGTGGGATCAGCTCATTGTCAATGAAGCTTTTAACTGTAGGTTTCCAGTGGTGGAGTGGATGGTTTAAGGAGGGAATATGTTTTGGAAGTTTGGTTGCTCTAGTGTAAAAAATAATTCTCATGAGGGTTTGAAGAGTATGCTTTGCAATTGTAGAGGAATATTGTTTTGGCTTGACTTGTAAACTTCGGTTGCTTTTTATTATTTTATTTTTTGGGATTGATAGTTGAAACTAATGCCTGGACTCATCATCTTCATATAGTACCTTATGATAAGTTTGCATGATAGTTCTATGATTCTTCTTTGCTTTAATTTGTTGTAAACTCAGTTCAGTATGTAAAATTGGATAGAACAATCATGCAATCCCCCTTCTCGCAACCAAAAAAAAAAAAAAAAAAAAAAAAAAAAAAAAAAAAAAATCCTGTAGTGTAGATGTGACTCCTTCATTTTAGTTGTTATTGTTGACTTAATTTATTCAATCATTTGTATTATTGTTCGTACTATCCGGAGTCTATTATATAGTGGAGTAAACCGTTTTATTTTACTACTTTTAATTTTTAGGTTTTCTGAAGACTAAATTCAGTAAATTGCAATGCCCCATGTGCCTTTTACTCAAGTGATAAAATTCTTTGCTTATTGACTTTTTGGGGTCAGATTTCCATGAATCCCCTTGAAGTGACCAATTTCTATCACTTTCTCGTCTCTAATTTCTTATCTTCTTTTAATTTAACCCTAGGGGTAGTGTCTTATGATCCGATATCACATGTTCTTTTTTACTCAATCCTTATGTTTCTAAATTCTTATTTTGCAGTGTCCAAATGGTCACACATTATGTTCAGACTGCAAGATTAGGGTGCACAATTGTTGTCCCACTTGCCGCTATGAACTTGGAGATATAAGGTGTTTGGCTTTGGAGAAAGTTGCTGAATCATTGGAACTTCCATGCAGATACCAGAGTTTAGGCTGTCATGATATATTTCCATACTACAGCAAGCTCAAACATGAGCAACACTGTCGGTTTCGTCTATACAATTGCCCTTATGCTGGATCTGAGTGCTCTGTTACGGGTGATATCCCTACTCTCGTTGGGCATCTTAAGGAGGATCACAAGGTTGACATGCATGATGGGTGTACCTTCAACCATAGATATGTTAAAGCAAACCCAAATGAAGTTGAAAATGCGACTTGGATGCTAACTGTAAGTTTTTCTTTGATTTTGTTAAACATTTTTGTAAGAAAAAGTATAAAATCTGGTAGTTTAACCCTCCTTTTGTTATGGTCCATCTTTTGTGCTATGCCTCTTATTGATTCCTCTTGGCTACCTATTCTATATATGGAAGTCTGACCTGCATCTTGAATTTTGTTTTCTCTTGCAGGTCTTTAATTGTTTTGGAAGACAGTTCTGTTTGCACTTTGAAGCCTTCCAGCTAGGCATGGCTCCAGTCTACATGGCCTTTTTACGATTCATGGGTGATGACATTGAGGCTAAGAAATTCAGCTACAGTTTGGAAGTTGGTGCAAATGGCCGTAAGCTAATATGGCAGGGAATTCCTAGGAGTATCCGGGATAGTCATAGAAAAGTTCGTGACAGCCAAGATGGACTCATTATTCAGAGGAATCTAGCTCTGTATTTCTCTGGTGGGGATAAGCAAGAACTAAAGTTGAGGATTACTGGCCGTATATGGAAAGAAGAATGAAGATCTGGATAGATGGTTTGTGTTTAGGTGTACAGTTAAAAACTCTGAGAATGGCTAGGGTAGCCCCATATTGAAGCATCAAATGTATTTTGTTTGGGTTTTTCGTTTAAAGTTGGAGTTTAAGTGATTGAGCTTGAGGGTATTTTGCAAACTGATTTATCTGCTGACTGCCTCCCTGCCCTGGTAAGATCAGAGTTGCAACCTAGTGTTGGAAATGGATATCTGAATTATTCAATGGGTTGATGGAAGTGCAGCAGGATGTCCCTGTTTTGAAGCAATAATTTTGTTTGGTTATTGTGTATGCTTTACCCTCAAGACTGACACGAAGTCCTTGGCTTCATATGTATCTAAATACACCTATTGCCATGTATTTGTACCTATGTGTTTCTGATGCAGTGTGGTCATTAACACCATATGGCCTGAATTGATGAATCTATTCAAGAGATTTTCTTTTGCTTGGCTTGTTCTGAATCTATTCAAGAGTTTTTCCTTTACTTCAAATTCAGTTGACTGGAATGATGGATAGCAAGAGAACATTCTCTATAGCTTTCTATGCTCACCTAAAATGAAATACTGCATTCTCTTGTCATGGAACAGCAGCTACATGCTTTTGGGTTGGACTGTTGCCTAACTCAGTCAATCCATTGACCACAAAATGTGACAGGAACATGACATGATAGCAACATTTTGTTGGGGAAAAACCGTGTAGATCCCGGTCTCATTGTCCATTTCTCTCTCTCGCTTATCGCACGACACTTGTGAAAACAAGGGCACTTATTGGGAAGAAAAACTTGCATATTCTGGTTTCATTACCTCTCTCTCTCCCTCTCCTTTTCTTCTCTCTGTCTTTTGAAGTTGAGAGACTTTTTTGTTCGGTAAAATAAGTCTAAGAGATGGAATGTACCTACATTGGTTACATTAGGATGGTCAAAGCTTATGCCAAGCAAGCAGCAAACTTTTGAGTAAGAGCTGTTATTGTAGAATCAAAAGATGAGAATTAACAAATAGATAGTTATATGATCCTACTTAATATCTTATCTGCTAAAGCATAATATTAATATCAAACTTAATGTGACAATTATCATCCAAAGCATCTACTATGGATCCAAACCCTACTTTAGGTTGACAGGATGACTTTGTAAATCAGAGACATTTTGAGCCTCATCTACAAGGGTCTGTCAATTAATTTCTTACTGTTCCATTACACACCCACCTTGGTTTTCTTTTGTGGAATTTAATAATAAAAGAGAGTTCTTATTTATTTATTTTTATCACAAACGGTTCCTAAACTCTTTTGAAGTCTTCATTTTAGTCTTTTAATTCTGAAATCAATCAATGCGGGTCGTTAATTTTTTATCTACACATCAATTTGAGTCATACTATCACATTCCATCAAAATTTTCGTTAAAATTGATAAACTTTAAATGGTATTTTCGTTTAAATATAGCTCATCTACGAAGGAAATAAAATAAAATTCACGTTTTTGCTCAACAAGGCGATATGAAAATTCAAATGATTGAAATGAAGATTTTTGAAAAGTTTAAGGACAGAACGTGATAAAAACTCATAATAAAATCAGTGTTGCATTGCATGGACCAAGAAATAAAAGAAAACCAGCAAATAAAAAGCATGAATTGCCCGGTGAATTTTGGGCCGTTGGATGGGCACATCAATCTCACAAAGATGAGAAAAATAGCAAATAAAATGGGGGACGTGCAACGTGGGGGCATGTAAAGGCAGACGAAGTAGGGTTGGTTTTAGCGGTTAAACTCCCGTAGGCCGAGTTTCCCGCGAAACAGAGAAGCATGTGCCCTCCGTCGTCCCAAAACGGACCCCTTCCCTCACAAAATACACAAATCTTGTTTTCTTTCTCCTCTGTTTCCTCTGTTTCTTCTCTGTCCCTCCTCCCCTCCGCTTCCGCTCCCCCATCAGCTCATTTTCATCATTCAAATAATTTTTTTTTTCTTCTTCTTCTCTTCACCTTTATTTTATTTTTTTTATTTGTAGAATATTGGCATTACCTCTGTGATTGGTTGCATTCTGACAATAGGTAATTACCCTTATGATTTTTTTTTCTTTTTGGGTTACCCTGAAACTAAACAGATCTTAATTTGTTGATGGTTTCTTTGTTCAATTTTTTCCTTCATAAATTTGGGACAAAAAAGGAACATAGAGGATGCCATTTGGAAGCTAATTTGTCCTCTTTTGGAGGTTTTTTTTTTTCATTATAAAGATTATAATTTGATATGGGAATTTTTGGAATTGCAGGAACAATTTTTATTCAGAAATTTTTTTGGGTGCTGAATAAAATTGTGCAGCACTAGTTGTAATTGGTGTTACATGGGCCGTTGATTTTGGTGTGCCACCACAACTTTGAACAATGTCGTGCTGCGGGGGTGCGGAGGAGGAAAACTTTGGTCCACCTGCTAATCAATATAACGCTGCCCCACCTAGAGGTGGAAGTACATATGGAGCAGGAGGTATTATTTTATTCCAATTTCTCTCTCTCTCTTAAAAAGAATAGGTAGTGTTTTCTTATTTGCTACATTGTGAGGTCCATAAGGTTGGTGGTGTTGACTGTTAGCATTTAGCAGTTTGGTTGCCCAATATCTTAGCTCAAGTATGTTAGACGATCACTCGACCCAAAAGCTTAACTCCTTAACACGCTCCCTCTCATGAATCCCCATCTTGTGCATGAGGGAGGGTGGATAAATGAGTTAGAGTGAGAATCAAGATAGGTCAAGGTTCAACGATTCTTTCTAATGTAATTGAAAAGAATAAGAGGTGGATGGGGGTTTGAAGGTTGCATACCGACCGTCTCTTGAAACTAGAGCTCTGATACCATGTTAGACAATTACACAACTTCAAAAATATCTTGTTTGAAACCCCAAAAAGTTAAGTTCTTAGAGAATTTGTCAACTATATACATCAAGCTAGAATGTCCAACATTTTATCAACTTTCATGCATTACTTGTTGGACAAATTATGCACCTTGTCAAGCATTACAAACCATTGCATTGTGTGTTACAGGCAATGACAGAGGAGAGCCAAGGAGTTCCAATACGGTCAAAAGTGGAGCTCCACAGAAGGCCTTACCGATCGAAATACCGGCTATGTCATTGGATGAATTGAATAGGTTAACGGGTAACTTTGGTCAGAAGGCGTTGATAGGAGAAGGTTCTTATGGCCGAGTTTTCTATGCAAAATTGAGTAATGGTAAGAATGCTGCAATAAAGAAGTTGGATACATCACAAGAGCCAGACTCCGATTTCTCAGCTCAAGTAAGATTTTGTGCCATAGTTATTTCCACATTCATGCTGCACATTTTACTCAAAATTTTGAATCAATCTTGTGCAGTTATCAACAGTGTCAAGACTTAAGCATGAGCATTTTGTGGAGTTGATGGGGTATTGCTTGGACGCAAATAATCGAATTTTGATATATGAGTTTGCAGCAATGGGCTCTTTACATGACATATTACATGGTATTCTGAGTTATATATTTGGTTTTTGTGTTTGCTTGTACATTTGTCTCTGTTGGAAACCGATTCATTGATTTGTTGTTCTAAGTGCAGGAAGGAAAGGAGTACAAGGGGCTGAACCAGGTCCAGTTCTTACTTGGAATCAGAGAATTAAAATTGCCTATGGTGCAGCCAAAGGCCTTGAGTATCTGCACGAAAAAGTTCAACCTTCAATTGTTCATCGCGATGTCAGATCCAGCAATGTCCTCCTCTTTGATGACCACGTCGCCAAAGTCGCAGACTTCAACTTGACAAATCAGTCATCTGACACAGCTGCGCGACTGCATTCGACTAGAGTCTTAGGAACATTTGGTTATCATGCTCCTGAGTAAGCCTTAGCTCTTGTTTTCTGAATGTTTGACATGATTCTACTACCTAATATAAATAATATTACTAGCTTAGAAGTTAAGCATTGGCGTGAGTTTGATATACTCTGTCCCCTGAAATGGTTAGAAAGAGATGCATAGTTTACATGTTAAGGTTAGTATAATACACAGCGTAATGTTTTCTTGCCAGATTCTGAATCTTAACCTTCTAATCTATGGTCAGGATTCACAGTCTGTGAACGTAAACATCTTATGTTGCTAGAAAGTCTGGAAATATATATCAATAATTTTTCTATTACCAGAGTCAGCCTTTCTGATCTTCAAACAAAGTTGAGCAAATGCATATCTTCCTCATCTAATTTTAAAATAATTGCTTTTCTTTATTATTCAGGTATGCCATGACAGGGCAGATTACTCAGAAGAGTGATGTTTACAGTTTTGGGGTTGTTCTACTAGAGCTTTTGACAGGAAGAAAACCTGTAGATCATACAATGCCTAAGGGGCAACAGAGTCTTGTTACTTGGGTATGTACTTTTCTCACTGTCTCAGACTCTCTCAGTTGATTTTAGTTCTACTTTTTCAAGCCTCTAACATAAACACACAAAAACCTTTACAGGCAACTCCAAGATTGAGTGAGGACAAAGTGAAGCAGTGTATTGATCCCAAGCTAAACAATGACTTCCAACAAAAGGCAATTGCTAAGGTCTGCTTTAGCATCCTCTCTCTTAACCATGTTACTATGAACAATTTTTGGAAATAGTTATAGCGTAATGCAATTCACACTCCTAATTTGTCAATCCGCACTCCTTTTCTTAGCGTTGTAAATATGAAAATATTGATTTTTAAGCGTGCAGGTTCATAGCGGCCGCCTAGATATATCACACGATAGATAAATGATTGATTCAAATTACCAATTTTTCTAACCATTGATTTTCATTGAATGTTTCAGTTGGCAGCAGTGGCAGCACTTTGTGTTCAGTATGAGGCGGACTTCAGGCCAAACATGACGATTGTTGTGAAGGCTCTACAGCCACTGCTTAACTCAAAGCCTGCAGGCCCAGATTCAAACGCCTAACAAATTTTCAATTCAACCCCAGAATAGAGCAACGTTGGCTTGTGTGTGCTTTGTAATGTATCTTTCTTGTTTGTAAACCTATTCCCATTTTGCTCCACTGAAACAAGAAACTCTCACAAGGGCATGTTCTGCATTGTCATTTATCTGATTCAATACCCGGTGAAAGCTCATTTGCGTTTGGTAGATGGTATTGTGAAACTTTCATTAAAAACGCAAGCTACTTAGTTATTCCTCTAGTTTAATGAACCTTTTTGTATTTGCGTATTTTTAATTCTCATGTCACTGGAGTAAGTGTTAGATATTGTGATTCGGATTGAATGCAATGGTCATTCTTTCTTACGGAACAAACTTCTTGAGAAAATCTCACTTCTTTTTAGTTTTCTTTTTTGATTAACGTGATGATTGATTATTTAAGATACAAAGTAAGTCTTTATATTTTTCGTCAAACAAAAAAGGAGATGTAACATGGTACAAAATGACACTTTACGTTGAAAGAGAAGTCGAATCTAACAAAGATGATCTCATCTATACGTTTTGAGAATGTAAATTTTATGGATATCCATAAATAACTATGAGAGCAAAGAATAAAAACAGAGCCGAGTATAATTCTAAAAGCTAATTGTGTTCCATATCCACGTAGAAAAGTCTAAAGCTAGTATATATCATTTTCACATTACAATGCAGTCTCCTGCGTACATTGACTTGGCCCCACTTGGTATTAGACAATCCATGGGATGGGATCGCCATATACACAGAAAAGAGGGGTCCATATATGACACAATTTTATTCCCATGTTTAAGACACTAGCATTCACGTCAATTTTGATAATATATACATATATATATTATACCAAACAGAGGGGGCAGATTAATACCGTCATCAAATATTTTGATAATATTTTGTTTTTACTCAGCAATTAATACCCCATACATACTTTGTTTGAACTTCATGTTTTGACGACAGAATGACTACACTATGCCCCATCCTCCTAACCAAAGGAGAAAATGTCGACACAACCTCCGCATAGGGACAAGAGCGCTGAAAGATTTATTAGTATAATTTTCTCTTTTGTTTTGTTAAATTAGTTCCAATAATTTATAATTTCTCATTGTTGAATAAAATATTTGGGGTGCTTCTTGTAGCATGCTAATTTGGTAATAATAGAATTGGAAAACAATTTCACCTTACTTGGGCTATACTTACCACACTTATGTTCAATTATTAGTATATATGTGGGCGAGCGAGCGTGACACTCTAATAAATATTTAAGTTAATCACTTGTGCGTGTCTACTCGGCAATATGACGATACGATTTAAATAATCTATTTTGTATATGGTCATGTTCAAAAGTATGTTTTGAAAAAAAAGTATAATTGCAAGGATATAACTAGTAAAATGATCATATAAATACTTTTGATTACTTGCTTTTTGCAAGAACTATACTTGTATGGATCAAGATATGGACGGTATTCTTGCGTATAGCATCCAAACAATGTGGTATTGAACTTAACGAATGGTGAGGATAATCGGGTCTCAGGTATGGAAACATTAACGATGAGTTAAGATAATGTAATGCTCGAATATAGTGATTCATATATGGAGGGCATAATTAGAATGAGTTCTAATTTGTAAATATTATTTGTGATTAACCTTATTGTTATTCCCACTACCAGGTTAATTAGAATGGAAAATGTCACAAGCAGTAGAGGTGAATAGTAGTTTTGGTGAATGAGAGGGTAACATAAAATTATGGGCGGGGCAATTGATTAATTGAGCGAAGTTATATGTTTTTTCTTTGTTGTTAAAGTTAGGAAGGGACCAAAGTATTATGGGGGTTCAAACTTGAGACCACTGATTTGCAAATCAAGGTTTTTTTCCATTAGGCTAGACCCCATTCGCAGCAAAGTTATATATTTAATCAAGAGTTAAAATACGGTCTTTATATAAGCAATTAAGAGCTAATTAATTCATGATTGTGTAAACCCATTTGGGCTTGGACTGACACATTTACTTACATGTTAGAGAATAAGAATAAACGGAATAATTTCTATTCTTGACATCTGCATTTACTTACACATAAGGAATCATGTAATGTCACATCTTGGGATCGACTTTGCCGTAGCAGTTATTGTCCGCTTTGGGCCTCTATCTCTGTTCTCAAGGTTTTGTTTCTGGGAACTCATGAGCAACTTCCCAGTGGGTCACTCATCCTGTGATTGCTCTAGTCCTCAATCGCTTAATTTCGGAGTTCCCATGACTCCGAAGCCAGTGAGCTCCCAAAAGACCTCGTGCTAGATGGAGGTGAGCATGTACATATAAGACACATCATCCCCTCTCCATTGGTAGATGTGGGATGTTACAATCCACCCCCTTTAGGGCCCCGACTTCCTCATCGGCACAATCACACCACACGGCATAGTGGCTCTTATACGAAGTTGACAGGACCCACCTCGAATTCCTCGGAACCCGAGACGAATCCTGTGAAAATTCGGACAACACACCGATGTCGAGCCCACTTATGATACTATATTCTCTTTTCCAAAATTAAGGATAAAAGGCACGAGACTTTATGCTGAAATTTCGACAGAGCCTCCCCTATAAATTGGATTTTCCCAAATTTCTCAACCTGTGAAAACACAGTTTATAAACACCAACTGGCGGCATGCACAAGGTATTAATATGTAATTTACGTAATAGGCCTCCGGCCTTCAAATGATTCAAGGCAGAACAACTAGCAATGCAATTAAAGAACTCAAATAATTTTACGAATACCACTGCAGTCAACATAAAATAACTTCCCAAATTTTCAACCTGCAGAAGGGCAATAATACTTTCCACAAATTTTCAGCATGCAACAACTACCATCTACAAATTATCACCAGCAGTCTCAGGGGCCTCGGCCCAATATACAATATAATCAAAACCGAACCCAACAGTAGTAATGTTTAGGATTCAAATCCAACAACCACATCGAAAACCAATCACATACTCAGAATCGGTCAAACCTTTTAAATATAGTTTATTTTGCGGCTACACCCGGGTGGGACCTTAGGCTACCTACGTACCCTTACTGAGGGATCAAGCCACACGTAGTTCTAAAGTCAATAGTCACAACTCTGATAATATACAAATTTCCTTTCTTTTATCAATTCTTTTTGCGCAACCATACCCTATCCAAGGCGTACGTTGCCAAACAACACTTCCCAATCCGGAACTTAGACATTCATACCAGTGCAAGGTAATCACGAAGCACAAACTCAAGAATCTCAAATACCATTTGTGACGTCCTTAGCGTCGACAAGGTGCCATTCTGTGTCGGAACACGTTATCGTGCAAAAACTTAAGGATGCACACAAGGTGCAGAGTCCATAGGAAATTGAACCTAAAGCTCTTATACCAAATTGTCACATCCTGGGATCGACTCCGCCGTAGCACGATATTGTCCGCTTTGGGCCCCCTCTTTGCCCTCATGGTTTTGTTTTTAGGAACTCACAAGCAACTTCCCAGTGGGTTACCTATCCTGTCATTGCTCTAGTCCCCATTCGCTTAACTTCGGAGTTCTCATGATTCCTAAGCCAGTGAGCTCCCAAAAAGCCTCGTGCTAGATGGAGGTGTGCATGTACATATAAGGCACATCACCCCCTCTCCGTTGGTCGATGTGGGATGTTATATGTAATATACGGGTCCCACCTTAAAATCCTTAATGAAATACTCCAAAAACTAGGAATCAGATCAACTAAGTTATATTTCTTCTTATACCATTACTTATAAGTAAACATACCATAGTGATTTGGTGGTTATCACATGAGAATGAGGCTCCACTGGTTTTGGTTTGTTTTTCATTGTTCTTGAATTTATTTTGTTTTTTATTTTCAATTTTATATTTGGGTAAAATAAGAATTTTGAGAAAATATTATTGGTGTTGGATGTGGAAAAAAATTGTTTGAGTCCCAATGAAATTTATATAGAAGTATGGTGATCTTTTTCATTTTATTAAATATTTTGTTTTCTTTGTAAAACAATATTGAGGTCTTCACACCTAATTTAATCAAAACGAGAATGAGAATAACAAATCCGACATGTGAGTGTATAAGTTATATATAATAAGAAATGTGATGGTTAATAGAGCAGAGATGAAACTTGACAATATAGCCTAGAGTAAGTACTTTCACACTCTTGTATGTATGTATGTATTATTACTAATAATCGGTTTTCATATCAAACTGCTATCAAATGAAAATTCCATACCAAAAGGAAAAAAAAAAGTGGAAAAGAAAAAAGTTACAAATTTGTATATTGATTTTTGTTGGTTGAAAAATTAATTCATCTGTGATTTTATTAATTTATTTATTTTCAATCCTGTAAATTGTATCGTAACAGTATTCTCTCTCTCTCTCTCTCTCTCTCTCTCTCTGTCTCATTTGGTTTTACCCGTGCCTCCCTTATAGCTACCATTAGTCCATTACCAAAGCCTTCCTTTGTCTCTCTCTCTTTCTACAAATATATACGCAGCACCATATCTCATCGTCTTCAACCAAAACCCCACTACATCCCTCTCTCTTTCTGAATCTCTTCCTTACTTCTCATCCCTTCAATCCAATCCAATCCAATCCAATTCAATTCAATTGAATTGAATTTAACCCGCAATCCCAATAATCAGATTCACCTCCAAGCAATTGATTTCGATCCAATAACCTTTCGCTCCTCGATCTATAGTTCCTAAATTAAATGTTCTTCGATTTAATTTCGGCTTTTGATACTCGATAATCGATCGGATTGGATCCGAATCGGACCCTGAACGCGTTGCTGGAGATGGGAAGGGCGGGTGAATGAGAATTCTATGACTGCTTGAACCAAATATGCCCGGCTTACCTCAGAGAAATGACCAATTCAGTAATGGGTCGTCGCCCATTTACTCCCTCTCTTCGCCCAACGGCTTTTGGTCCAAGCATCGCGATGATGTTAGCTACAATCAGCTCCAGAAGGTACTCAATTATTTC